TGGTAGAGAAAAATGTCGATAATGAATCTTTAACCAAACATACTGTGATAACGACTAATGAATATGATGGTTTAAAAACTATCAATTCAGTACTTAATACAACATCAGATGAATGTATAAGTAAATCATCAACTGTATTAATTGAAGACGTAGTGAAAACTTACAACGAAAAAAATACTAAGTGTGATGATGATGATAATAATTCAACAGTTACAGGAATGAGCATTAAACAATCTTTAGGTGTAACTTTGAATAGTGAAGACTTAGGCTTAACAAAAGATATAGTAATGCAATTAAAAAGAGATGTTCATGAAGTTTTACATCAATTTAGTAGTGATGATGATAGACCATTTACTCCTCATAGTGAATCTAGTATGTCTCGATCGGCAATGAATATAGATGATGAAGATTATGATGATACGAAAAATGAAACTGATGATGATATACCAGGGTCACCTATGTCTACTGGGCCATCACCATTGCCAATGCAATTAGACAATCGGAATATAGAGATGGATTTAGATTTTAATAAAGCTCTGCAAGAACATAGATTAACTAGAGGAGAAGATTTGACAACAATTGAAACAAATGGTAATCATGTAACGGAGATTAAAACAACAGAGCATGATAATATCAATCAAAACCAAGGCACATCTTCCGATACAGTACAGAGTTGGGGAAAACCACTGGGCTTACCACCAATACAGAACTTAAATAATAACGGTTTTGATCCAATTCGTGATTGGGGAAAGCCATTAGGTCTTCCGTCTCCTACGCAACCCGTCCATGAAATCTCCGAGCCACAAAATATGAGCAGTAAGACTACACCTAAAAAACATGTGAAGAAAACTATAGATAATAAACCAATAATCAATGTCATCGGTAAGAAAATATATATTATTTTTCAAAGTTTAATTTTTTAGGAAAGTATGATAAAAAATATACACTGAGTTTGAAAATTGTTGATAAATATAGTTTTTTAAACCTCAACCAATCAAGGTCGTTTAAATACATCGATACAATTAATTACATATTAATAACTTCTCAATAATGCATTACCAGTTACCATATTTTATTAAAGTTTAATTTTTTTGAGAATTTTATAAACAGTAGAAAATAAGAACTTGGATGTTGTCGCGTCAATACTTGAGATAACAAATTTTTACGTAAATTTGGATAAAATTATGTCATTCTTCACACACCGACAATAACCATAACTAATCACAGTTATAACTATTTATAAATTAGAAAAACTGAAAATGTAGTTTTTTTAATTAAATTCATTAATATTTCATTAAAAAAAAAAAATATTTTAGAAATAATATATTAATATCAAGAACTTCTAATAGGTAATACCAAGTAATTGTAATCAATCTGAACTTAAAGGGGGCTCATTTAAATTTTCTTAGACTGGGCCCTGGGGTAAAATACCCACCACCCTAGCGACGGTCCTGTATATATATATATATGAATTCCATCTTTTAGAGCAGTCTTGAGCAATTTTCCAATATAGGATATAATAGAAGTATTTAATACATACAATATATTTATGTTTTATTTTTCAGATAAGGACGCTCAAAATCGAATTCGACGATCTGAATCTCCAAGCAAACTCAGAAGCCGATCATCAAGTCGTATGTCAAGAGTGAATCCTATTTATCTTGATTTAATTTATGTGCCACATCATGGAAATTCAAAATATGTGTCTGCTGATTTTTTCAAACGTATAAGAGCAAGAAACTACGTTTTTAGCGGTACAGATCCTAGTAAAGAAGTTTTGAATGCATTGTTAGAAGGCAAGCAAACATGGGAAGATAAAGATTTAGGTTTGTCCCTCTTTTTTTAATTTTTTTTTTTAGAAATATTTGTTTTTAATTCATTATTGATATATTTAGAAGTCACTATTATACCAACATATGATACTGACATGCTGGGTCAATGGGTGTCAGAAAATGAGGAATTGCTGGCCAAATTAAAGATCGATCTAAGTCCTAGCGCCAGTCGATGTACAATAAAATTGCAAGATCATAACACCAGCTGCTCTGCGTATAGATTAGAGTTTTAAGTACAAGATATTTATGCTTATACTAAAATAGTCTTCGTCCACTATATAAATAGAAAGTATTTTATAAGTATGATAACTGATAAAGCTGTTAGTCCATTTTACTTCTTAATGAAATTATGGCTACTTTACGTTGTTATTATAGTGTAAACGAGTACAACAAATATATTTGGTTCCGTTCTGAAATAATTTTAGGCAGAGCGTGCGAATAAATCACACTAAATTACAAGACTGGACAATCCATCCTGGGTAGGTCTACCTTTTGTCTTTTTCATGAAAAAAAATAATTTTTAAAACATAAATGATCATTTTTAATCACACATATTTTTAGAACTGGCGCTTCTATTTTTTAAAGTTTTACTTAATTCTACTTTATAATTGGTAATTAATTCTTTTCGTTCTTAATAAAAATATTAATCACATATATGCATACCTAAACTTTTAAATGTTAGAAATATGTATAAAGTAAAAACGTATATATCATAGATATCTAATAAACATTTATCACATTATTAATACAATTAATTCGCTTTGGGAATTGGAACTTAAGCATGTCGAAAACAATATGTGATGAACATTTTTAATTATAGGTACATTTTTACGAACTGACTTTGTGCGACAGGGTAATTGGAAAGACCGTTTAAAATCGGATATCAAAATTGCTGAATAACCTTTATACCTAATATTTGTTTTAGCTATTTAATTTTTGTCCCATAAATAATTGCTGATATTAGCCATAATGTTTAATGAAATTAGCAAATGGATATGTACTGTATGAAAAGTCTATAAAAAAATTGATCCAAATATTGAGTCCATTTTAAAATCTTAATAAAAACCTAATGTAGTTATTTATTGGTCATTAATATATTATTCCGAATTATTGTTATTAGGTTAAGCCGGTTAATGGTTTTATATAATTTCTTCTTTTCTATCAATATATTTCTCCTGTTATAAATTGAATTGTTTCAAAAGTATTAAATTCATAACCACAATAGCTCAAATCTCTGTTGAAAAATTATTTTCAGTTTCAAAAACTAATTATATTATTTCATATTTTATTTATTTGTAAACCATCGCAATAAATGTGATATTTTGCTGATTCTTTAAATGCGTACACGCAATTTGATATCACATAGGGTTTTCAGCTATAAAATGTGAAGAAAAATTAATACTACGTTCTGCATTCCGATTTTTATGAGTAACGATGGATTACAATTGTATAGCACATCCCAAAAAACCGATAAACGACAATAATAACTTATAGTAATAAAATCAGTTAAATATATTAGCTTGATTACTGTTCATCGAGCTTATATGCTTTAAGTATGGGTTATTAGAATTACATATTATTAACTTCAATGAGCATTGCAGTCCAACCGCATCTACTTCGTTACGTTCATTTTCTCCATCCTCTCTTACGCAATACTATTTAAAATAATTTTAATCCCTATTTTATTAAAGTGAGACAAATATAAAAAAATTGTATAATTTAAAATGATACTATTGATGGTTAAAATTAGAAAATGTAATATCATTAACCTGACTGGAAGCTCCATTTGAACTTGTGTTAGATTTTATAAGAAAAATTATAATTTTACTCGTATTTATATTTATTATCCACATTCATAGCTCGTCGACCTACTTCGAAGGCTTGGTATGATTATTATTTAAAACTCGTGGAAGCTTTTTACGAGTTATATTTTAAATGGTGCTATGTTCCGTCAAGGATAAAGTCTTTCGATGACTTAAGAAAAACGTGATTTATGTATTTTAGTCTAAAAACATGTTAGTATCATTATATATTAATCTTTTATACAGTTAGTTGGTCGAATTGAATAATCATTCAACTAATTATTTGATGTTAGTTTGAAACATTTGCAATGGAATATTTGCAGACATCGTTGCATTACGTTTATATTACTATGTAGTAATATAGTTTATTTTTTAATTGTATTTTATATTTTTATCTTTAGTAAATTTTAATAAATAATTGATTCAAAAATTAACGCAGTTTGCACGATTTTCTATCATAATTTAAAAGCCAGTTTTTGCATTTGCATACTAAAAAGTTTTTTGTTGTGTTATAAACAAGTCTATTCATCTGTTATATCATTCAGAATTATAATATAATTATATTACTTAGCTATTTAAAAATTTAAATAAATGTTATCAATGTTATATTATCATAAATATAGTTCACATAAATATACTAAGTAGGTATATACTTGAAACAATTTTGCAAGTAGATAAATAGCTTGCGATGAAAAATATTGTTTTATAATTTTTAATTTTTAATTTTTCTGTATACACAAGACATTTATTATTACTCTTTCAATAAAATGCTTACATTGTTTTTACATTAATCTTCTTCCAGAATCTTTCTTTTATACTAATTTATTATTATATACCATATTTTGTATAATCATTATTTATATGTTATTAATATATACTATTTAACCTTCCAGCTCTTAAAATACGCAAATGATATTATTGTATAAGGGTAGTTATTAGAGATCTGTAATTTGACAATTAAATGTTTGATTTTAGAAATAAATGGATCGTTTTTTTTTTTTTTTGTAGATTTAGACAAATATGGTAACTTACACCTTAAAGATCATAAATGAAAAACAAAAAAATACATTACGAGGTATTACAATTTTTATTTTATTCAATTTTGGGTTCACAATTAATGAATAGGTTGTAGTTAACAGGAAATAAAAGTTATACATACGCATTACACAGTAAAAATGAAACAAATTAGGAAATAGGACTTGATACAAAATAAATTATATTATACTATTATCTTAGCACAAACCTTTAACTAATATAGTGTATTTAAATATTAAAGATAAAATAATTAAAATTATAATATTAATTAAAATTTAAAAAAAATGAATAGTTAACATTTTTAAAATTAATAATTTTACCATATAAATTATGCTTTCATTTTTTGTAACGTGAAATAGCTAGTGCAATTTACTAATAAATTGTAACTAGAATTATATAAAATGTTTCACAAATAAATTTCATAAGATTTACGATTTTTCTATTATTATTTGTGTTACATACAATAAATCTGGAATTGTTTACTTCACAACGTGAAATATAGGTTCATGTTATGTTATAATATTGTGTTGCAGGAATTTTTATATACATCGCGAACTGTACAAAGTAGATTGAACAAAGTACAATAGTCGAGTTATCTCATAAGTTTTTTGATATCATCAATATTTAATGAGTTATCGGGATGGTACAGAAATAAATAGAAAAATAGACATAGTACATGAGGATGCAATATTGGGAGAGCTTAAGTATCATTGTGATAGCTAACATATCAAGATATAAGCAATCATAAACGTGACTTAAAAAAAATTAATTCCTCTAACTAAAAATCTTGTATTAATCATGCAGAAATAAACATAAAGAAAGCATTTTAAGAAAATAATTTGATCTAAATAATTTCTTTCTTTATTTATTATTGCTTTTACGTCATAAATAGGCAAATTTATTGAATTTTTTCTTACTTCAATCAATAATCAAATTTCAATGTTAAATATCCGTGTGAAAAAGTTGCTAAAAAGCTGTGTATCAAAAGTGAGGATACTAAGAGTGTCGAAGTAAAAACTAATGTGTGAACTTATTAAATACATTTTTTTTAATTCCCTACAAAAAAAAATTTCGCGTCATCAATTGACTACGTCCAAGAGTTCTTGCTATTTTCGGTTATGAAAGAATTTCATTTTTATAGCATAGAATAAACAGTACGGCGCGTTTATTAGTCGTACTTACTGATAAGTTCTACTGTTAAGCACCGCCCAGTGCTGCTAGAATTCGGATGAGTGTCTATCTTGATTTATAACAATGATGCCATAGACCATAAGCCATGATGCCATCAAATCATTGATTATAGAATAGACTATTCTATAACCAATACACCAAATTAATTACGTATTTCAAAAAACAAGCACTAATTTTACACTATTTCACAACTTATTGTTACCACTGTAAGCCAATGTTCTAAATCTATGTTTCTAAGTTGCAGAGATATATATCGAAAAAAAAAAAGAAAAAAAAATGTTTCTTTTCTTGGAGTATGCATATGTTTTATAAATTAAGGAGTGATGAAGAGAGGTATATTCAAATTCATCATTTAATGTTGTATAATAGAATACATTCGTTTCTGAAATTCACAGAATCACACAAGAACAACGTGATTTTTTCAAACAAATGCAAAATGTCCCATAGCAACTGGAGCGTGATAATCATTGGGATCACTCAAGTAACTAGTAAACCTGCTATCCTTTTTGAACATATGAACCAAAGGTTTATGCACAGGTTGCTTAGCTTTATTGCATTCGTACTGATGTAGGGGTATCCCAGTAGTGTTATACAATGGGTACTTGGCGCATAGCTGAAAAAATACAAATCACGATGTTTATTTAGACCATTAATTACATATGTTTGCAGTAAAAGTATATTTATCAAACATCAAAATTTCTTTAACATTAAAATAAATTTCTACATTGAAATTAACGTGAATAAATTGTGAAACCACTTTTCATTTCATTTTTCAGTACTTAAAAGTTTAAATTTGAATAACCATTATAGGTATAATAATGTCAAATGCATTTAGAATTCTTTAACTTCTAATTTTTAATTTATTTCTTAAATATTAAATTTTAAGAGTGAGCAGTATTCTCTGTAATATAAATAATATTAAGAAATAGCTCAAATTCATAATTGTTTTTCACTCAATTCTCAATATCTTTAATACTCAATACCTACTTAACATTTTATTTTTATATTTATGTTTTGAATAATAAATAATTATTTACTTTTGGATGCCCAAAGACTTCTCATTTCTTGTTTTAATATTTCTTTTAAATTATTTTCCATTTAGTAAGTAAATAATTGATTTGTTTTCGAGGACTTTTATGAACACACAAATGTGTGGTGAATAAGTGTGTATACAAGGGATGTTGAGCATAGATAGGTATATATAGGTTTATAAGGTATATAAATATTTTATGTGTATAAATGGGTGTTTTATTCGAGTAAGTTGAACAATATTATAAGTGTAAGGTGGTTGTGGTGAGAGTTTTAAGCAGGTGTATAGTATGGTTGGTGTGAACTGTCGTAAGAGTATAGCTGAGACTGCGATATGACATAGAACGTGAGTTTGAAAAGTGAACTACGGTAAGGTAAGTATGGAAGGATTTAAGGTGGTAAAGGGGTGCTGAAATAAGAATATGGTGAAGTGTTAGATTAAGGAGAGAGGATATGCAGATAGTACTAAGAATATAATTACTTATAAGTAATGATAGGATATAGGTTAGGTGAGGTATAGTGGTGAGGAGGTATTGTGAAATAATTATAAAATATTGAAAATAATAAAAATAATCTGTCGACTACTGTATAACAATTATACATAAAAAAAGTTAAAATAATTACTTATAAAAAAAATGTACTAGTATATTGTTTTACAATAGACTACATGGAAAAAGAAAAGGCACCGACAACGATGATGTAATTTGCGATTCAAATCAAATCGTTCGTAACATTGAATCGGTTCAAAAAACCCGTTCGTTCGCGAACGACCCATCCAAATAATCTAAAAAAATAAAGCGTTTATCTTTAATTAATTTTCGGGGAACGGAAATTGGAAATGAAAAGTGTATTTTTATTTTCCATCCATTAATGCCAACGATGTCAATAGGCAGTAATACATAGAAGATGGTCAATCAGTTAATTAATAATTAAATAATCTACGCAGAAATATTTCTTCGATCATTAAAAAAAGTATTTTGTTAATAAAATGTAATACACAAATAAAAATTTCAATATTACACAGTTTTAACTTAAATCTTCTTTGATACATTATATTTTAAAGTGTACCTTATTATTATTTATATTTAATTTGTATATGTTTTTTAATTCCTAAAATTCTTATAATTATTTGGCTACTGCACACACAATTCTACTCGTCAAAATGTTTAAAAATAATGGACCTAGTAGTGTGCAAGTGCATATGAATAGTTATAGTTGTTTTTTTGTATTTTTTAATAATTAATTATATGAAATTACTTTTAAGCAATCAAAGTACAGTTTGGTTTATCATAATGTCAACCATAAATCAATATGAATTTATTTATTTGCATAAATAAAACTTTCGAGTGAAATTGAATAGTTTGAATAGTTATTAATAACATAATTACCACTTAATACTCATCAAAAATTTAATCATTTAATGTCAATCTTATAGAAAATAGTTTATATTCGTAAAATTAGTCTTTATTTATAGAGCTATATCTAGTTAGAATTTTAAAAACCAAGTTCAAAATTAATAATTATATAATCATATAATAAATAGTATTATAATATTACTATCATATAAGTGTTTGTGACTAGAAAATTAAAATTAAAAATTATTTAATATGTAATATTTATATAATTAAATTAATTTTGTTATAAACCAACTTTGATACTTGTATTTTCTGAGGCTTCAGAAAAACTTCTTGAAACCATTCTTGCCTAAAATCATTATGGTGTACCTTATCGTGAGAATGAAAAAAAATAAAACAAGGTTTTAACCCTGTAACCGGGATTTGTGAAAAGTCAACCTACTTTGACTCCTTGGAATAAACTAATAGGTACTTACGTTATAAATAAATATTTAAACTAAAAATAATTATTCAAATATTTTTAATTATGACTATTATTATTTTTTTTATAGAAATAATTTTTAATGATTCATAAGCATTTATCGAAAAATATAATATATTTGGTACACTGTCAACATACTTCTTCATTTAATTGGTCTCCTATTTCTTTTAGTTTGAACCCTTTAATTTGAAAATTGCTGCTGTAGGTTGTTTCGAACTGATTATTTTGAGCGTAATAGTTTTTGGTTTTTTCTGCCATGTCATTCAGTACTTTTTCAGTCATTGTCTTCCACAAATGTTCTTCCAATTCTTTTCTTTTTCTCTCTTTGATGAAATAATAAATAAATTACATTGTTCTATCAATTTAAAAAAAAAAAAAAAAAAAAAAAAAAAGATTATGCTAAGGTAAATTTTTTTTCTCTGTGATTTCAGTCCATTACTTATAGTTACTTATGGCAGACAGTTGTTTCGTTCATTTAAAATTTGTAATTTGAGGTAGGTCTAGTAGTTGTAAATGTAATACATATTTATTATCTAGTAGTGTATAAGTATAAGCATTCTTAAACAATTAATGTATACATAATTTTACAACAGCAATAACTTATTACTAATAAGTATTAAGTACCGACGTTTAGACAGTTTTTATATTTACGATTTGAAAACTAATATTCTCATAATAATTTGAAGCGAGACAAACACCGATCAGAGACGCGAACTAGGTTTTAAGTGTGGATGCCTTTGGAATTAAGGCCGTGGCATGTATTCAATAATTACGATTAATCCATGAACTTCAAGTACTTTCGGTGTTAAGCTCATCAGCTCCTTCCAACAAAATGAAGCTAATCTTAAAGTACTCGGTACTATCAATATCTTCGATAAAATTGACTCGAGCTATAAAATTAGGATTCAACGTCATAATGAAGGAATAGATAAAAATCGTTAGATATTAGAAAATATTCTGAACTGTATACAATTTTGTGGACAACATAATTCACCATTAAGAGGTCACAATGAAAAAATTAACACTAATAATAAAGGTGTTTTCGTCGGTGTTGTTGAGTTATGTAAAGACTTAGAGTAAGTTTGCGTAGTCATTTTGAAAATTCATAAGTGTTCAAAGGGACATCTAAAACAATACAGAATTATTTGTTAGATTGTATATTACTTGTAACCAGAAAACAAATTTTATTAAAAATATAAACTGCTCAATTTATTTCTATAATCGTCGATGAGTCTACTGACATTTCTAATATGTTTCAATTAGTTATTGTATTTCGCTATGAACTTAAAGGTCAACCAGTAGAACGTTTTTGGTGGTTTTTAAATCCTGATGGACACAATGCAGAATCATTAACATCAACAATATTATCTGAAATAAATCCTATTTTAAAAAATACTCCGAATAAACTAATAGCACAATATTATGATGGCGCGGCAATCATGAGTGGACAAAAGAGTGGAGTTAATGTTAGGGTTAAGGAACTATACCCATATGCGTATTGTATTCATTGCTGTGCACACCAGTTAAACTTAATTATGACACAATAAGTATCTCAAAATAAAGAAGTTCGGATATTTTTTTCAAATTTATCAGAAATACCGGTATTTTTTTCAAATTCACCGCAAAGAGTAGTCGTATTGGATAAATTAGTTGGCGTTAGATTACCACGGGCAGTACAAACTCGATGGAATTTCAATATACGTACGGTTAACATTGTTTATGAGTATAGAGATAAAATAATGGAGTGTATAGACAAAATAATAGAATCTTCCCAACAAACTTTGACTATTAATCAAGCTGGGTCAATAAAATGTTTATTAAGTAATTCAATATTTATATTCTGGTTATCTATTTTTCATAAAATAATGCCACATGTAGACTGTTTATATAACAATGTTCAAGTCGTTAATACTGACCCGGTACAAATAAATAATTCAGTCGAAAAATTTAAACACGAAATATCTAAAATAAGAAATAATGTAACTGATATTATTGAAAGTGCTTCAAATATGCCTAATATTAATATAAAAAAATCACGTTTGGAATCACATGAAACCATGAATATATCGCGAAAAAATGCTGTGCTTGAGGTCTGCGATACAATAATTGTCAAAGCTAAAGATCATTTAGAATTTACTAAACACTTAACCGCCGCTAACTTATTTAAAGCTGAAAAATATTTAGAATATTCTAAAACATTTCCATTACAATATTTTCAATGCACAATTGAATGCTACACGTTTTTTGATATCGAAAAGTTGAATACTGAACTAGAAGTTATGTATTTTCGAGATGACTACCAAACTTTGAATGGTGTAATTCCAACATAAAAAAAAATAATATCAAATGATATGAATGAAACTTTTTGAGAAATCCTTAGGGTTTTGTTTTCATTTACTTTCTACCATGGTTTGTCCGCTTATTGATTAAAAGTGATGATTTTTATCAATACTATTTAGTTATAATACAGAAAATCGCAAAATTTTTAACTAAACTGTAAAACTAAAACATTTTGTGTCAGGTAGATATAGGAGTGTATATTTGCCTTAGCCCCCAAGGATCACCTTGGGATAAAAAATGTTAGCACTCCTAAGTTTTAGGCCGGTCTCACCCTGGAACCGAATACGCGCGACTGCTGACTATGGTCAACAACAGACGAATTGACTGCTCTCATACTAGGATCGACTGCGTACGACTACCTGGTTGAAAGTATTAGTAGTATGTTGCGAGAAGAAGATGCTCAAGAAGAACATAATCGGTTGATCAGATATTCCAGAAAAGAGAAGAGCATAGCGATTTGTAATGACTTGTAATACATAATACGTAATACATTACGTCCATGAAAATAAAAATAATGAAAATAATGTCAAAATAAAAAATACAAAATCAATTTACAAAGTCGTACAATCTACGGGGTAAAATCCGAGCAAGTTGAGATCGAGTCATAAGTAGGAGCTAAAAGCACGTGGTCGCACGACAAAATTGGGTTTAACGTGACAGTGCTAATTATATTATCAAAGTTGGGAAGGTTAGTGCTTAGTCGTGCGACTGCGTACGACCAAAAATAAAATGAGTAATTCTGTTCCGCTAATACTTAGTTCCGTTTTCTTGGTATTTTTTACCAGTTTATCAAGTGCGATTTGGTTCGCGAAAAAAATAACGAATCCAATAAATGCTTAATCCATGATTTCGTTACCTACCTTTGTCATCGCACGGTGTTCTCACGACCGACGCTTGCGCCCGGCCGTAAGTCTCGTGCGTGGTCGACCTCCAAACGTGTCCCGCATCACCATCGCAGTGCGGCATTTCGAACGTCTGTTTCTGGCTGCTATTCTTGCGAGGTCGGACAGTGGTCATCGCGGACGCTACGGGTCTCCGTTTAGGTGCCTAGCGGTACGTGCGAGCCACGGGTAATGTCCCGCTTAACGCTTACCGCTTGGCAGGTACGTATACGCGCGTCGTAAATAACACTGACCGTTACCAATGTTACCGTCCGTAGACAAGCGCCGCGACCCAGGTACCGGCCGTTCGTTATCGATCACGCGCGCCGCCGCCTTGGGCACCACTGGCCTGGACGATATCGTTCTCGCGCGCTCCGGAATGAGGTTAGGATTAATAAACGTTGGGAAAAAACATACGACCCAGCACCAACACAACCGCACGTCGTACACACGCGCGTGCCGTATCGATCATTGTGCAGCTGCTGTAATCACCGCTAGACATTATTATTACTATTATTATTATTTACGGTCGTCTTGCGTACGGCGGTGTTGAAGTCATACAATAATGTGTGTGTGTACGACGCGTATACACCTGATCATGATGGTTTCTTCTCGTTTCTTCCGTTGATCGTCGATCGTCTCTTGTCGAAATCCGCGACGTACTGTTTCGCTGTTCCGGCTTGAGCTTGAGCTTCGCTTCAGACTTCAGCGTCCGTTGCATCTCCCGCACTCCTCAACAAACCTAAATGACCGGTGAGTGTTCTCGCTGATAGACTCGTTCGTACATCGTGCTTAAAAACCGTGTTTCTAAGTGTTTCGTGATGCCGAAGGCCATCATCAATATCTTTCCTACAACCCAACGAACTCTATGTCTGCAAATCTATTGCCTGTCACATCTCACCATCCATGTGTGCATATAATCTATGTACTTCGTTTAAAAATCTTCCACAGTGGTCGACCTTCCGGTTGTGTCTTTCATGCACACACTCCAGTTTCTACTGATATTTATTTGACTACCACCTGACCAATAATAATCATTTGAAATTGTTTTTTTTTTTTTTTGGTCTAGGTACTGATTTTGATTGTGTCATATGATTATAGTGATATAAAATGGTTTTTGAAAAGAATGACTCGGTAAAATTGCACATTTTCTGCATTATAAACAATAATATCATCAAATTATACAAATCAACTCCTGTTAATATAATTCTGAACAGATTTTGCTTAATTTTAATTTCTTTATTACTAGGTACTCATTTTTCCTATCTATTATTGTTCTTTGCCTATCACTTAATCACTACTGTGGTTATCATGTTCTTGAGAAAAAAAATTAGTTTCTTATGTGTGTTAACAGATATGACTATATAATTGTTTTATTGTGCTTGTGCTATGAATAAATGCAATTTTTATGTTAGGATTTTGTTTTTAGTTAAATAGTAAAATTATTCAATCAAAATGGAAATTGAACAATTGGTATATGAAACACTCATGCAGGCCAGTAGTCAACATCCTGATATGCTGAAACCTGCTGAACAAAAACTTAAAGAATGGGAAGTACAACCAGGATTTTATTCATTGTTATTTGTAAGATTATGGTTTTTTTTTTTACTAACTATTATAATTATAAACATTTAATATAGCTTTATTTATGTACTTAATAAATGTGCAGAGAATATTTTCCAATCAGTCATTAGACTTGAATGTTCGTTGGATGGCAATTCTATGTTTTAAACAAGGTGTTGAAAAATATTGGAGAAAAAATAGTCAACAGTAAGTACTTATTTTAATATTAAATATCTTTATTGAAAACTAATATAAGTTTTAACTTAAAAGTGGCATTTCGGAAGAGGAAAAAGTTACTTTAAGAAAAATGTTATTAACAAACTTGTCTGAACCTGTTCCACGACTTGCTACTCAAGTTAGTGTAATAATTGGCAGAGTTGCAAGGTAATCCAAAATCTTATATATTAAATCTTGATAAAAATGTTTTAAGTACATATGATTTTATTTTAACTAAAGAAATCAGTTACATACTTTTATATAAGGAATTTTATACAGGTGGTACTATAAAAACTAAATTTTATTTTCTTGTTTTTCTAAGTGTAAAAATTTAAAAAGAAATATTTAAAGTCTTGTTCAATTTTGTCCCATTACTGTCTATGTTTTTGTTTACTAAGAAGTGTTTTTGATTTTTCCAGCTTTTATTTTATTTTAATATTTTGTCATTTTAATCAGAAAACTTCAGAAATTTTTTTTTTTTTTAAGTTTTTATATTTTAAATGTACGAACAACTATCATTCATTTAGATTTGTTTTTTCAACTAATATTTTTAGTTGTATTAAAAAATTTATAAATATCTGTATCATTAATAATTTCTTGTCCTATGTTTTTTTTTTTTTTTTTTTGATATATATGATAACGTTTGATAAAATCAGACTATTTAGTTTATCATAAAATGAATTTAGTATTATTCATCATTGTAACCTTTATATTTACATTTAAATATAGTGAAACTTATGGTACTGCTATATTTACATCAGTTTTCTCTATGTTATGTAATATTATATGTATTTTCATTTTCATAATTTTTTATTTTTGCTATTTTTCTAAAATTGCAGTAGAATTTGCATTAATTAATATTAAATTATAACCATTTTTAATTTATTAATTTTTTTAATTTACAAATGTTGAATATTTTAAAAAAAATTTCTTCTTAAAAAATTACTCATTTTCACTTAATTAATTTCTTAATATGTCCATTATAGAATATTAAAAAAAAATTTAAAATTTGACATAATTCAATTACTAAGTGTGAATTTGATTAATGTCACTAGGATATAAATTTCTAAAATTTAGTCATTTTTTGTTTTCAAATAATTTATTAATGACTGAAATTTTTTCAAATATTTGGTTCATCTATTTTACCTTGCTCAAATTAAATACTTTATTATCTAATGCAAATTTCAATATAGTTTCATTATTATACATCTTTGTAATATAAATAATGGTTCAAATTACTTAAAATAGATTTTATAATAATGAATTTTTGTAGTAAATTTTTTTGTATAATTATTTTGTAAGCAATATATTAGTAAAACCTAATTCTAAATTTTGTGTTATACTCAATATTTAGATTGGATTGGCCTTATGATTGGGGAGATTTGATGCCTGAATTAATGGAACGTATCAAATATGATCCACAAAATCGTGCTTTGTTATCAATGCATCATGTAGTCAAATCATTATCAGGAAAACGATTGTATGATAGTATACGATTATTTCAAGATGCATCCAGCCAATTATTCCCAAACTTTTATAGTCATTGGGAACAAAGAACTGATGCATTTATTGAAGAAGTAAAAAATTTGATTTTTACATGAACATTTAATTAATAAATTAATATTTGTGAAAATAATTGATCTAATCAAATAACTTACCTGTGCAGATGGAACAAGGGCATGCATTCCCTTCAACAGCTAAACTTTTGGAAGATGCATTTTATACTCAAAAAATTTTGTCCAACTTTGTATTGTATGGTTTTAAATCACCTTATCCTGATGATGTAAAAAGATTCATCTTAGCTGTCTTCAATAAAGTTCGACCAATTGTTGCTTGCCGTTAGTCAATACAAATTTGAAGTAAAATTGAAAATTTATTTTTAAAATCATTTTTTATTTTTAGGTGCTTACTACCCTGATTTAATTGAAAAATTTGTGTGTCGAATGTTCAAAATGCTTATGACAATCATAGAAGAGCATCCTGCTGAATATTTGGATTTTATTCAGCCAACTATTGAACTTGCTTATTACTATGGTTTTACTGCTGAAGGAAACGCTGTTGTCTTTGAAAGATTCTTAATACAGCTTTTTAATTTAACTAAATTCATATTAATTTGTCCTCAATATAAATTGCCTCGTACTAATGGCCCTGTTTGTCAAGTTGAGGGTAAGATAATGATTTTCAAAATAAATTATTTAAATGTATATAATTGTTAGCTATTTGAAAATAATTTTAATACATATTTAGTGGTTGAAATAATTCATCATTGTATTTAATATTAAGATAATTTTCATTTTTTTAGTCTAATGATAAAATTGTTTGGACTTAAGAAACATTTATTCTTTTGATATAATATTTATTAAAATTCAATTTAATATTTATATTTATAAAAGTGTTTTCTTAGGTTGAACATATTATATTATGTATTCATGTGTTAAATTTTTCATCAGAATATTAATATATTGAAATTCTTTATAAATGATTTGATTGATGTGATATATTTCAAATTTTATAATATTAATTACAAATATTGTTTTAGAAAATGCAAGAAGAATATCAGTTATAGCTGTTCAACATAAAGGGTCAGTATTCAAATCTGATCGATTAATGAATATGTGTCAGCAGCTAATCTATAAATATTTTTTGCTGACACCAGCTGAATTAGAAATATGGGATAGCGATCCAGAAATGTTTGGTTAGTGATTTATTAAAATCATTATTTATTTGTTGTTAGTAAAATATTTATTAAGTTATTGTTAATTATTTATTATTATAACAGCTACAGATGAAGTTGGAGAATATTGGAAGTATAACTTAAAGGTAAGTAAAATTTTTGGAAATTTAATTATTATTTAAATAATCTAATTAATGAAACTGATTGCAAATCAATATAACTCGTATTTCTTTTTAGGCATGTACAGAATCATTATTTATGTCATTATTTCATGAGTTTAGAGAATTATTAACACCTAGACTTGCAGCAACTATTGAGTCAAATAGAGAATTTGTTGACCCTACTAATTTAGAAGCAGTATTAAAAAAAGATGCTATTTATAATGCATTTGGACTTACTGCATTTGAAATGTTTGATATTGTAAGTATAACAAATAATTAATTTATACCACATACTGATTGATAGTGAATAATTCTTTATAAAATAATATTTTTTTTATTATTATACTTGAGTATTCATATTATTGATCAATATTAAATGAATTCGAATTGATAAATAAATAAAAAAAAAAAAAAAAAAATAATAAAAGAAACTAAATGATCTGCTAAATAATGTTCATATCAATAGTTTACATAACAAATTATTAAAACATCTAGTATATATTCTCTAATACCAATTTGTAACATTTTAATGAGATTTTATTATGGTTTTTAACTAGATAAATTTTGATGACTGGTTTAATACAACTTTACGTCAAGAGTTGATGGAAACACGTGGTCATTCACGTGTATTGAAAAGACGTGTTGCATGGTTGATTGGACAATGGCTTACAGTCAGACTAAACCCTGAATATAGACCAGAATTGTATAATATTCTCATCGGACTTTTAAATCCTGAACAAGATATGGCTGTTCGTTTAGCTGCTACATCTACTTTACGATGTGCAATCGATGATTTTGATTTTAGTTCAGAGCACTTCATTGAATATTTGGAGCCAATGGCATTCTCATTATATAAACTTTTAGTTAGTGTACGAGAGTGTGACACAAAGGTACAATATTTATACTAGTTAACACACCTGTTAAGTACATGTGAATATGATTTATATTGTATTGTTATTGTTTCAGTTAAATGTTCTACATGTAATGTCATTTATGGTAGAACGATTAGGTCCTATGGTTGAACCTTATTTTGACTCTTTACTTCAGTACTTACCAAAATTATGGACTGACTCAGATGACCATCATATGCTTCGTTGTGCAATTATTTCCACATTAACACAAATTGTTCGAGTAAATAATTCTGTTTAAATTATTTAGATCAAGAGTTATCAACCTTTTTTCTCAGTAACTCCTTTAAGCTTAATAAAATGTCAAGTACTATTTGAAGATACATCCCTTTAAAATACAATTATGGGACTTAATGGTTGATAATTTGTGCTAATATTAATTATCAATTAATTTAAATAATTTTCTTATCTTTCTTTTTGTTGTGAATCGCCTCTTTTGATTTGAATAACTTCTAAATATTTTAATGTGATTCAAATTCTTTTTTTTTTTTATTCAGGCTATTCGAACAAAAAGTGCTGAACTTACCCCATTCTTAGTTCCTATAATTAGATACAGTGTAGATATTAAAGAAACAGCATATATTTATTTACAAGAAGATGGTCTTGAATTACTGTTATCTTATATTGAATCATGTTCAACATATAATGATGACATGCTAAGTTTAATAAATTATCTTCTTCCATTATTAGGTAAGAAAATTTGTGAGTATAATTTTAATATCTAAAATTTATATATTAATTTTTAATACAGATTACTCTACTGAACATTTAAAAACTGGTCTTATGATACTTGAAGCTTATATTCTAATTGCACCAGAAAGAGTTATATCGGTAAGTATTTGTTTTTTAAGTAAGCCATAATATTCAAGTTTATTAGAATTATTGAAGTATGAATTTTATCTAATAGTTTATTATTAATTTGTGTTCCCAGGAATATGGTACACAATTTTTTAACTTAACTACATCTCTAATGAATGATCTTAAAGATGAAGGAATAGTATGTATACTATCTCTATATGAAACAATTATTAAAGTCAATTTACCGCAAACTATAGAGATGATGATGGTTGTTTTAGGACAAAACTTAAAGTAAGAATAATAATTTAATATATGTAGCTTTTCTGTCACCTGTTTTTGATTCCCTCTAATAAAACGTTGGTTTCAATATATTATTTTTAATGTTATATTGAAATTAAGCCATAATATTAACTTTATCACTAGCTGGAGATCTAAAATAGTAAAATAAATGACCCTAGTCAATACCACAAAAAAATATCCACTTTCAAATGCATCTTCAAAATTTAAGTTCCTACTCGTAAATCAGCTATTGTACTGTTACTAGGCAGAAAAAAAATTAATCACTTATGTAATCAGATACCAGGCCAAAAGTAGCACTTAATTGGGTTGTTCTACCCTTAAAAGTTATTCATAGGTGTGATGCTGGCAGCTTTTAAACTAAAATAATAGTATTCTTTCCTTTGAAGTTCATTCATAATACCAACGTTAGAACAAAGCACAAAAATTGTCTCATACTCTAGCAATGTACCTTTAATAATTGAAGCGCTCGGCCGAACAACGGGACAAGCGCCACCGAGCACATTTTACAATAGACGCATTTAAAATATTACGGACCATTTCTGTCCGTGTTGGTTGAACATTGCACGTAGCTCGTTGTTCCATCCGTATTCTCTTAATCAACTTACCTTAATGTAATAATATCCATTGAGTCTACTAATCGGACAAAATATAATAATAAACGATAAACGCAATAATGCCGAGACTGGCGCTTGTCCCGTTGTTCGGCCGAGCGCTTCAATTGTTTTTAAAATTAATTATAAAGCAATTATAATACATTGACATTGAAATACATTGTATATTGATTATATATCTTATTTAAAAAGAAGCTAAATGTTTAAAGAAAATTAAAGTTATTATAGTAATTTCTTGATTATTCGCAATCCTCCACAAAACTAAATAGTTTAAATATAATTATAAATTAATGCAATTTGTACCCTTATAAGACAACTCTGAAGAAAATAAATAAAAATGATGACTATGCTATAATAATAATGTTATCATTTAATGTTAAATCATGTAAGAATTTTTGTGCTTATTTTTGGCCCATTTCATCTTATTTCAGATTATCTGTGGATTAAAAAAAGTGAATGTAATTATTATTAATTGTATTTTTTTTTTATAGATGCTTATGCTCAGGAGAAATAGGTTTGACAGTAAATAGTTGCCGTTTATCTTTGATTTCTAGAGTCATATTAAATGACCCAGCTATTTTTATTCAAGTAAATACTAAATATATTTAATTTTAATTTGTCTAGGACTTGTACATATTATTATTATTTTTAGGTTGTAGAACATTTATGTATCACAGAGAATGGTAATTTAATAAACTTTGATAATGTTCTTAATAGAATTATTGAAGTTTGGTTAGAACGCATGAACCAAATTGTACAAAATGATAGAAGAAAACTATTAGGCCTTGCATTAGCTTCACTTTTAACTTGTCAAAAGAAGTGAGTTATTACATTATTTAGTATAATGTATTACGTATAATACAATTTTTTGTATTTCAGACCAATTTTAGAATTATTTAAAGAAATCATAACTGTTTGTGTGGAAACTTTAAATGACATAATGAGGAAGACTGATGATGGAAGTTATACAGAGTAAGCAAATTATTATTTCAATATTTCTAGATATTTTGAGTTTCAAATTACGGATATATTATTTTTCCTTGATATCATTTTTATTTTTTTATTTTGTATATCATTTATTTAACTCAATATTAATAAAAACAAAAATATATTATCAGTTGAGTTAAGTTACAAGTTATAATAAATAGAAAATTTGTGATAAAATGTGCCACTGAATAGCTCAGAGAAAGAGAAAAAATGAATGGGCAGTTAAATTGACGTTTTAAGTTTAATATCTGGTTTAGAGGTAAACTTTTAGCCCATTTTGGAGAAGTTAATGAGATGTAACAACACTGGTTTTATGAAAATTCAATCTTGTAAAATAATTAAATACTAAATCTAGAAAATATAAATGTAATTGAAAAGCTCATACAAAATTTATTTTTACTATGTTATTTATTGATTTTACTCTTTTTGTACATTTAACTTAATTGTACAGTTCCATGTTATTGACTGATGATTGCTCCAATGTAAGTTCGCGAGCGAATTCTGAATGTGAATATCAGTATGAAACTGAACATAATGAACGCCAAAGGTGTCTGTCACTTAAAGACCCAGTACACTGCATACCATTCCATACATTTTTGCAGTCTCAAGTAAGAAAATACATTTTTAATTACTTAATATCTATTAAGTTGCATTGGCCTATCCCTAGTGTATTCTTATTCTTTATTACTTATTTTCTTCAATATTATTTAACATATATTAACATCAATTTTTAATTAATTAATTAATTAAATTTTACTTCCCTGCAGTTATTAACATTGAAAAATCAAATTGGAGAGCAACAGTTCCAAAGTGGGCTTATATCCAAGGTAGACAGTGACATACTAGAACAACTTTACTTGTACATGTAGAGTGGCATAAATTAATGTTATGTACAAAATGTCTTTCTTCCATTCAGTCTACAAAGCTCTTTTATATTATGAAATAATTACTAAATTATATTATGTTATAAAAATTGATACATAACTGTGTAATATTTAGACAGGTTTAATTTATCATTAATTTAACTATACTCTATTTCTTTGAACAGAAAATTTACTGTATAATTTTTTTTTTCACAATTGATTTTTATACATTGTTTTTATTGCAGCTGTATTGAGACCTATTGATAGGCACAACATGTTAAAAGTTTTGTCGCATTATTTACTTGATGATTAATATTGTTCACTCCAGACTCATTTTACAATTTTATATTTTGCCATTGATCTAATAAGAATATACTAGTCATTAATGAAATTTATTAAGGTTGATTAATTATAATTATTACATTATTGGTGATAACAATTCGTATAAATAAGCAGATTTAAGTTTACTAAGTCCATCCCTTGCTGTGTTTGTGAAGTTTAAAAATGCATTGATTTAATCATTTTAATCATTGACTTATTATAAACCAGTCAAACATTGCAGTTGTAAAGATTACATTCACCTAGCTTAAAATATGTCTGTTACCAGAATATTATTCTATTCAACTGCATTGTAGAATAGAATTGAATGCAAGGGAATATTCTGATTGAATTCTAATCTCGTTTAAATAATTTTGTCATGTGTTTTATTCTTCATAATTGTAAGTGGACAATATAAATTTGTCACTGTTAAAAAAAAATGATATTTAATATGTTTTTATTTATTATTATTATTATTATTATTAACTAATTTTAAAATATATATTTATATACACATGTCACACACATACATATGTATGAATTAAATGATTATATGTATATGTATATATAAATAATTATGTTGTTAGGAATTTTTTTTTACTGTTCATTGCATAATCATCTGTATAGACTTGTATTATTTATAATTTTATTAATATTTTTACAACATAAAAACAAATTTTAAATCATTTTATGGAATATACCATTATATTAAATATAAATTTATAATATTCAATGAACTAATAAATTAATATTAGTATATTATTGTCTATAAATATATATATATATATATACTGTACTTTCTAATCACTTATTAATTCCTATTCTTTTGTTTTCATATTCATCTAGTAATTTATAGTTATTATCAAGGCTCGGAACTTTATGCACTAAAATTACTTAATTATGTACATACCTATGTTACTGGCAATATGGGTAATTCAGATATTTTGCAAAATGTCTGGGTATTATGCAAATTGCTGACCCATTTTAGGCAATGTAAATAAAACATATGATTTTCAATATTGTTTTACTTGTAACCTAGGTATTTTATAAAATACCTAGGCATTATGTATAATGCCAATCTTGGAGTAGGTAATATGAAGGAAACAAATAAAATTGGGCATCGCCTATTATCAACGACTTCATTTAAATGTCAATTTTTTATTTAGGTAAAGTACAAAACATTTTATCATGTGTTATATTACATTAAGATTCTTATAATTATTATATATTATTACTCATTTTACAGATAAAATTTAATTGTTATCTATTATTATATTATTACTATTATATAAATATTTTACTTAAACTACTATTTACTTATTATAACATGTTGTAGAAAAGTGACATTTTGAAGTGCACAAAATGTTATTTTTAAGGCAAATACACTTTATTTTAACACTGACTTACAAACAAATTTTAAAAATCCTTGGCCAATTCTTGTGGATTGAATTTTTATCAATTCATTATACTGTTCTTCAGATAAAAACTAGTATTAGTGGCCAAATTTTTTAAAAAAAAATTTTAGTTTGTTATAAAAATTTGACTTCATATCAATCGTATGTATAGTTGCAACGCCAAAATGACTAGAAAAATTGCGGTATTGCAATAAAATTATTAGTACGTTCAATATTGTATTTCATTATTATTATTATAGTAGTGAAAGAATGTTAATTTTTATTTCGTTAAATCGTGAACGTACATTTATGATAAACGATAAGTAAAGTCGTTGGTAATGGGCGATGTCCAATTTTATTTGTTTTCTTTATATTGCCTACTCCACGATTGACATTATACATAATACCTAGGCAAAGCTCGTGTTATGTATATTGCCAAGTGATTTTTGGCATTTTATATAATACTTAGGCATTTTGCAAAATACCGGATTATCCATATTGCTGGTAACATATGCGTTAAAAACATCATGTTTTTCAATTTATTAAATAAAATACATTTTACATAAACTGGGCACATGGGAAAAAAGAATACTTAAATTATCTAGAGCAGTGTTTCCCAAACTCTTCTTTAGGCTGGCCCGGTAATTAATATTTTTCCTTTTGTAAACCACCAAAATATTTTACATTTATCATTGTGTAAAATAAAGGCAAAATAAAACACATTTGAAATTTAAATGTATAAACGCACTTGACGCACTCTACACAAAAATATCAAAAACGTTTAGTCTATTATTATTTACGTAATTTATTTTCTTCGACGTCTTTGTTACATTACACAAAAAACAAAAATGAGTGACGTGAATAAAAGAAAAAGAAAATGTGTGAAAGTGGAGTACTTGAAATGTGGTAGGTAGTCAATTCAATGACGATTTCAAAAAAAAAAAGCACGAGAAAAAATTACATGGCGGAAACGGGCAAATGTCAGTGTTGGGAAGGAACGCGGTCTATTTAAAATATAGGAACGGGAAGAGTTCCTATTTTTAAGGAACTCGAAAGAAAATTTCCGTTTCTCAAAATAATGAAAAAAAAAAAATTAGTTATTTTTAATAATATTTTTCTAGAATATATTTAGTATTGGCAATTTGGTATCACTTAATCTATAATTAGTAAATAGTAAAACGAACAACCTCCTAGGTATCGTTGATATATTTTAAATTTAAATTTAGTTCGAGATTTATAGCATACAAGGTATAAATTAATAATATGATAATATAAGTATATTTGTAATGTATATGATAACGATGTTACTTTGATAATCATGCTATAATGGTTAAACATTTTAATGATAACAAAGTACAAATAATATTAATCGATTATTTTTGACTTAAAAATTGTTCGCGAAAAACACCATTGACCACCACTCAAATCGTAAAAAATGTGTAAAGGAATGGGGACGCATTATTTTTTTGCGACAGGAACGGAAACGAGTTCCTTTTTAAAAGGAACTTCCCCAACACTGGTAAATGTTAAACATATTGGAGCACCCAAAAATCCATTTGAAGGTGCAGCTGCACAAAAAAAGTTTTAATCCTATTTGGTATAAGAAGTATTCTATGCTAGAGTATAGTTTGATAACTGACTCAGCATATTGTTTTATGTGTCCATTATTTTCAAAAGGGTTGGGAAAATAATTTTCTAATGAAGCATGGATAAAGCAAGGTGTTAATACTAGGCTAAAAATGAAAAGTCGGGGAAAAGTTAAATTAGGCGAATTGGAACAGCATTTTAGTTCTTTATCACATAAAGCCGCTTTAAATGATTACCGCAACTTTATGAAAGAGTCAGTTCATATTGACGTTATTATGAATAGATCAAAAAGACAAGAATCAAATTAACTAGTACACGAGAAAGAATTTAATAAACAAATAATTATAATTTTATTTGATATAGCACGAACATTGGGTAAGCAAGGGTTGCCCTTTCGTGGAAATGGTGACGAATCTCATGGTAATTTTAATCAAATGGTTCAACTTATATCTAGACACAATCCTTAAATGAACCGTTGGTTAAGTGAAAAATCACCAAGATCTTACAATGTCACATATTTAGGCCCATGTTCGCAAAATGAGTTTACTGATATCCTAAGTAATGAAGTAAGAAGAATTATTGTGAAAGAAGTCCAGGAAGCAAGTTTATTTTCAGTCATGGCTGATACAATCCCCGACAATTCTCATAAGGACCAATTAGCAGTTTGTTTGCGTTTTGTTAATAACAATGGAAAAGCAATTGAAAGACTTCTAAAAATAACTGAAGGAGTAGACAAAACTGGCCTAGGAACAGCTAAACAGATTATTGATATTTTAAATAAACATTCTTTATGTACGGATAATTTGATATTTCAATCATATGATTATGTTAGTAACATGTCTGGGGAGTTTAATGGTACACAAGCTAAGCTTCAGAATTGATTGGTCATAGTGTTTTTTATATTCTGTGACAAGCACACCGAATGAACACATTTTTGGAACATGCATGCAATTCTTGTCTAATTGTGTCGGACATAATCGACAACTTGGAAAACCTATATGTATTTTTTTCAGCTAGCAATAAAATGTATACAGTATTGAATAAACAAGTGATGGATATTGATAATACATGACAGTTAAGAAATTTATCCAAAGCAAGATGGACAGCCCATGTGGAGTCTATTAAGGCTGTTTGGACTTCATTTGAAGTTATATGTAATACTTTGCAAAGCATTTGTTCACACCCTGAAATATTTGATAGAAATACTAAGACAAAAGCATTTGGTATTAAAAAAAAGATGTATTCATTTGACTTTATTGTATCCTTGATGTTCATGAAAAATATTATGTATAAATTGAAATCACTAACTGAGACTCTAGAAACGAAAAGTCTATGTGCAATTGATGCTGCGATTTTGATAAAGGCCACAATTTAAAATTTATAAGATATTAATTCAGATTCAGATAGAATACACGATTTGATTGATAGTGCGATATCTTTTGCAGCAAATCTTGGTATAGATTCAGAAACTGATTTCAAACTTTATCACCGTAAAAGAAAACAGCCCACTTGGTTGGACTAAAATGCAGTCACTCAAGTTGATTTAACCTTTCATATATTTTTACAAAAAAGAATTTAAATGTATACTTTCTACACTTATTAATTTATCTAAGGATAATTTAAAAATATTTATTGATACAATAATGCCATTGTATAAAATGTTTTCATTTCCATTCAAAAATGAAAATATTAGTATAGAGAATATACAAAATGCTATGTTAATATTTCCTCCCAGCAGTGATTTTGCAAAGTGCAAAGATATTGAAGTCATTCAAACTGAATTGGAAATATTAAAAGAAATATGCAAAAAAAAAAAAAAAAGATTTGACTTCAATAATGACATCCACTTTTATTAGTATAATTGAAAAATGTAAAGAAGTAAAACATATCCTACCATTAGCCAATAGTATTTGTAGATTAACATTAACTGTACCAGTAAGTGTAGCTACCAACGAAAGGACGTTTAGTAAACTCAAATTTATCAAAAATTTAACGTCAACAATGACAGACAATAGGTTAGATTCATTAATGCTGTTGGGTATTGAAAAATACATTTTGGATGAAGTTGATGTTAACAAACTAGCTACACAGTGGTCTAATATCAAAGACGAATTGAATATTAAAAATTGCATATTATTACCTGTTACTTGTTAATTATGTTATTTACCTGTTTAGCCTATAGTCGTCCGTCTGTCAACACATTATATTAAAAATAAAATGTTTAAAAAACATAGAAATTTATGTCTTGAAATTTTAAGAATAAAAACATAATTAATAATATTTGTTACATCCGATATTTTACATTTTATAATGAGGGTTCCGGTTTTTTGAATATGTAAAAATTCGGTTCCCAATATTTTAAGGGTTCTTGAGTTCCAGAACCGGTTTTTTTGGGTTCGATTCCAGTCCCTGCCAATTCTTGGTATTCAAAATCATTAAAAAAAATATAAAAAATATTTAATAACAAACTTAGATGAAATGAAAACAAATAAACTTTTAATCTATTATCATAATAGTATTATCGTTCCCACACTGTTAACACATCTAGATTAAATAAGCCATAACAAAATATGAACTTAATGTCACAATGTGTGTATTATAAAACAAAATAATTTTATAATATAATTTTTGGTATTTTATATTGCATTTCAAGTGCATATTTTATTGCATCTTTATGACTTTTTAATGCATTTTTTAAGGTTTTTTAGTGCATTATATTCACAGCTCTACTTATCATACATAGTATACGCGTGAAGCGAGTTAGAAATAAGAAATAAAAAATTATGCAATATAAAAATAAAAAGATTAATATCATCAAAGTATGTTTATCGAATTGCACACGTGTTATTTGTTAATATTACAAGACGCAGGACGCATAAATAATATATTATACTACTGAGCTATTTTTCTAGTCAGTGCCGGATTTAAGGAAAAAAGCTCAGGCGACACGATATAAATGGCCCAAGAATTATGAATCGTCGTAAATACTAACTCATGACTTAAGAAGGAATTCCTTCTTAAAATACTGTTAAACTAGATAGGTATTGAACCAAAAAAAAATATATATACTTACATTTATTTATATCGTCCAAACTGGATATATTATTTCTAAATAAGCTTAACAAAATTATCATTAAATTTAAACAAAAAAAACGTATATTGTTCAGTGGCGGATTTAGCGTTTTAGCATCCCTAGGCTTAATCATTCTGCCCCCTACTAGAAATTTTAGGTTAAGTATGAAAAGTGGTTTACCGAAAAAATATTGCTTCAACAATAACATATATAATTTGAGACGTATTAGTGATTATATAATATATTATATTTATTTAGTAAATATTATATATTGCATTAATTATAATGAAAAGAGATTTATTTGTTTAACAAATAAATAAATTATCAGCAAAGGGAGGGGGGAAATAATGCGGAGACATAAGAATACGAAAAATAAAGTTACATGTTAACAATGTAAAAACACTCGAATTTGAATAATAACTCAAACTGTTTCCGAGTTGATCAATGGCTTATGATCATTTGCTGTCTTCAGTTGAGCCAAGGACTTCAGCTCGACCGCTGTCTCCATTTCATTTGTTAGTTCCATCACGCCGAGATGTTTCGTTCTGTCCGACCACCGACCACGGTACATGAACACCATTAAGGCCGTCCAAATGATCAGGATCACCAACCAGGCGGCGTTTACAAGGCCGATGCTGTGAAGTAGCTGATCTCCTCCTCTACGGTAGGGTTCAGCGACCGTTTCAGAGACATTCGTCAGTACTGGTGAAGGTGAAGATGTTGGCCTGTTGCTCAACTTCTGTTCTTCCCAGAAGTTGACGATTACCAACTGTATTCAAACGATTAATATTATTAAAAAACAAATCCAGTTTGTATAGGTACGTACCGACTTCTGCACTTCTGTTAGATCAAAATAAAATTAACAAAATACGAGTTCGATTTTTTAAACGATAAGAGTTTAAAATTTGTAAATTTTATAAACTAAATTTTATTAAATTCAGTTTAATTTTGAAATCTATTATTTTATTGGTCAACAATATAGCAAATGTCTCATTTTTTTTAATTACACGCTAAAGCTCTTCATCCCCCCCTCTTGCAGCCGACTGAATTGACAAGGACGATCAGTTTCGATCACGTGTAAAGGACATTTACCATTGTTTATCGCTCACCTTGCGGTCCACGATATACTCTTTCCGATGGGCCTTGTTCAATCTCGGTATCCTTGGTCCGCCACTGCCGTGTTTCCTATGTTTCCCGCCGCGACCGTGTTTCCCGTGTTTCTGTTCAACGTCGTGTTTCCGGTCGCGATAACCGAAGTGGTGCAGAGGTTCCTTCGAACCTAGACCACGACCGTAATCAGGGATCTCGCTGAATTGCCGCAAAGGGCCCGTGATCGTCGTGGTTGCTCCGACCACGACGGGCACCACTTTGGCCGGCCATTCATCGGACGGCAATGACTCGAAGTTGGGTGCCGCTCTAGTTGATGGCGGCACGACTATCGTCATTACCGTGATCAGTATACATACCATCCGAAATATGGTGGTCGAGGACGAAATCAACTTAATTTGCGTGGTAGCGAATACCATCATGATGCAGAGTAGAGTATCTTACTCGATTTGCACACCCAATGGTTGTCAATCGTAAGAATTATCCTTTTTCCAGTATGATATGATTGTAACAGTTTTTGTAAAAACAAAAATATACGAATAGAAGAGCTAGGATACCATTTATATAAGAATTAAACATTTTAATAATATCTACAGACGTGGATCATGATTTCAGCCAGTTACATAAAAAATAGTTACTGTAAAATAATTATCAATAACATAATGCATTTATACAGAAACTATACCTCCAAAATCGAACAAAATAATTTATTGCGAGTATTACACGTATCTAAGTTTCAATCAAATATCAAAATTCGTTTAAAGTTTAAAAAATATGTGAACGAATTATGAATTAAGTTCATATATATATATAATATATAATTATATACATGTAAATATTTAATATCAAAATTAAGAGATACATAAAAATTGTGATATATTAATGGAATTATTTCTTTATTATACAAAGATCAGAATCAGAATCTTAAAGTTGTATGCTTTTACTGGGTTATTTGTGTATGTATAATATCATTCTCAGGTTCTTTTTGGTAATATTATGTCTATGGTCATAAAATTTGTAGTTGTAGAGAATTCATACTTTATTTTTATTGTAAAACCAATTATACATTTTTTATGATTATGATAATCGGAGAAATTCTTTTGGTCAGAATCATGACACAGACTTAAAAAAATAATAGTGCGTGATTAAATATATAAGTATATTAAATATAGTGGTCAGGATTTGAATAGGTTGAAATTTTAAATTGTAAAAGTACCAACTAGAACTCATTTCTCATCTTTTAATATTATTATTGGTGACAAAGAACTCTTAGTTGAAATCAATTACACATACAAAAAACCAATTCATTCCTAATTTCACTCAGAGTTTAAAATTTATTGAGTACATAAATAATTTACACTTCTATTTTTATTTGATTTTACGTACGTTATATATATTTTAAACAAATTTAAATTCATTTTTTTAAATTTCATTAAATAATTTGATAAGCCGGTTAATAAATGATCCTTGGATTTGGTTGGCCGGTTCACTTTTAGTGACCACTGGTTTATACTATATAACCTTGGTATTTTTATATTTTTAATTTAAGTAACAATAAACAACTATTCAGAAGTACATAATAGCTTTTTTTTTATATAATTTTATTAGAGAATATACAATCTGTACCCAGGTATAATAAGAATATGTGCTGCATTATATTAAAAAAAAAAAAAAACATGAATAGGGTGAGGGAAGAAACCATCTAGTGATCGCACTTCCTTTTGATTAAATATATGTGTAACTATATATTTTTTTTAATTATTATTATACATTTTTTTTCGTTATTCATTAAGAAAATCTTTGCACCAATTTCTTTTGAAACGCTGTAGAGGGTTTCCAGGAATCGTGTGAGTGGCTAGATCGGATATCAGAGGATTTGAGTGAGCAGACAATTTGTTAAAAAAAACGTTTGTAATACGTTTTAGCTTCTTCGTGTATAGTTTTCATTTTTAAGACAGAGTGGAGAGTAAAATTAGAAATATAAGGAGGGACATTGGTGATGGAGCGTAGAATTTTATTTTGAACGGTTTGTATTTTGTTGAGATTGGATTTTTTGGCATTACCCCACAGTGGGAGTCCATATGTCCACATAGGCTTAATTAAGAATTTGTAAATAAGCAATTTGATATTTAATTTAGTATGTTTGTTAGTTAATAATGTTTTGAGCAACCGGATACGTGCATTTAAAGCGAGTTTTTTTTCCCTTGCATTTTGCGCCCAGATGAGGCGACGATCAATGGTTAGTCTGAGGTACTTAACAAATTGAAATCAAGGTATAGGTATGTCAGCTAAGGAAACTTCAGGACAGGGAGCAAGGCGAAGAGAAAAGGTAGTATGAAGTGGTTTAGATCGATTTACTTTAACTCTCCAATTATCATACCACTTAGACAATAAGTTAAGGTGATGTTGGAGGTTTAGGGAAGCAGAAATTGGATCTTCATGCATCGCTATGATTGCCTTTTCGTCCACAAACTTGGCTACAGTTGTATTTAGAGAGGTAGGTTGATCAGCGGTATATATATTATATAAAATTTGTGAGAGTATACCACCCTGTGGGACTCCTGCATTAATGTTTGCAATGTTTGAAACGGAAGAATCAAGTTAGGATTTATTAATTGTTTGAACTCGTCCATGAAACTTGCTAATAGTATATTAATATCTGGAAGAGGAATTGTATTATTGGCGTTGGAGTTAGAAGTAGCTTGGGCGTAGATATAGTTTGCATCGGGTGGGTGTGATGAGGCTTTCACTGGTTGTGTTTCTTGTACATGTATAGTTTTAGGATTAAGATTATTAGCTACCTGATTATTTAGTTTTGGTTTTTTGCGTCGTTGAAGGTCCCTGTAGATCATACAGCCTTTGTAGTTTGAAGGATGGTCTCCGGAACAAAGTGCGCACTTGGAAGGGGCATCTCTGGAGTTTGGACAGTCGGATGTCATGTGTTGAGCATCGCAGCGAACACAGAATGCCGGATAACCGCAATAGTTTAAATATTGGTTTATAGTTTTGGGCTTATATGGCTCTTCCACTTTTATTAACGTATGAAGTAATGACGTGAGATTGTAGATGTCATAAGATTGATCAGTTGGATCAAGGTCCACAAAAAATAAAGGTAATGGATGTTTATTTACCTTATGAAGAACACTTAAGACTTGCCTAACTTCAAATAGGCGTATTTCGAACTCTGATTTAATTAACTCAGTTGGTGTAGTTGGATGAAGGTTTCGAATCACAACTCGTAATGGTTTGTCTTTCTTAAGTTGAAAAGTATAAAATTCTGGTTTTTGGAAGTGGACTAAGGATCTATACGATTCTGGGTTTGTTGTCATTATTTTCACACGATCTGTTGATGATTTACAATAGAAGTTATCTACTCCGATTAATTCGATAAGCTTAGTGCACAGGTCAGGAAAGTTGTATAAGCCTCTTATTAAAAATTGGGGGCGGTTGCAGAACTTTTGGTGTGACAATAATAGAATTTATAGGATTTTGAATAGGAACTGTATTGTTATTATTCGACGGAGGTGTGGACGGAGGATCATCTTGCGATAACACTTCATACCGATTTGTGGAAAAAAGGTTTTTTGTTTTTATTTGTCGGCGTTCGTGGTGAGCTCGGATCGGAAGAATTCTTTTAGTTTTATTTTTATTTGTCGTAGATGAGATCCATCCACCCGACAACGAGTTATCATTATTTGAAGTGTCCATTTTATCAAAGGCGTGAATACTGTTCATAGCAGTTGATTTATTTATATTAAGTTTGATTGTTCGTTGATTACTGGAGTCGCCGTTAATTGTCTTTGTAGTAATTAATTTAGAATTATGAATTTTATCTGTCCTTGATTGTGAGTCTAGAAGATTGTGGCATTGCAGGTAAGGGTCAGTCTCAACAGAAAGCCGCGCGCGGCGCGCGATAAGACGACGACGGAGTGATCGAAGCGATAACGAATAGCGCTAGCGACGACATTGTAATGTGTAATATTAAAATAAAAATGTTATTACGTTACGTTTAGATCAGAAAATCTTCACATATTGTTGTATGAACAAGTTTTGCATGAATAAGATGTGATTGATACTTTAATATTCATTTTAACAGTAGTTGAACTTTTTAGGCGCAAAAAATAATGTATAGGTGAATAAATGACGGAGCATAGCAAAAACTAATGTGCATGCTACGGACGCCACACACGAACTGTACATAATAGCTGAAAAAGTTTTGCATTAAATCGAAAATAATAATGAAAATCAGAATAAATTTAATTAGTACCTTCACATCAGCAAATGGTCAATGTCAGTTTAATAAAATAATCAACAATAATAACAATAAGTTTTCAGGTAAAAGCTAATAAATAAAAAAATCTTTTGAACAAATTTTAATAAATTTATTGAAATATTTTGACATAAAACATCAAGGGAGTACAATTATAATGTATTTATTTGTAAAAAAAAAAAAAAAAATACCAATATTTTAAATATTGATAAACTGTTAAACATTAGGAATGATCATTCGGGCTATAAATCTGTGATTCTGTATATGTTCGTACATCAAATAATTCATATGTAATCAACAACAGATATAATTATTTATTTTGATCCCATTTTCTAATTTCACCAAGTAAATATTGATTTTGTGATCAATAATTATTTTATAATTTTATAAAATGCCATTTATCAACTGTAACAAAAAAAGTAACAATAGTGTAAATTTTAAACAATATAATTAAAAACAATTATTCCATAAAAATTTTCAACTATAGTTTAAAAATCATGCCGTTTGACTTAATGAAGAACCATTTATCAACTGAAAAATAATTAGGATATAGAATTAATTTTTTTTATATTTTATAGTTAATATATTAATGAATATTAATTAATAATTAATGAGTCAAAGGGAAAAAATGATCCAAAAAAATTAATATATGACTGATTCATTTTTTAGTCAAATATTATATAAGGCAAACAGGCTACTATTAAAAGGAGAATGTTAGTTTTATTTTAAAAATGAATTTGAATTTAAACTTAAGATAAATTTACAAAAATATGTTAAATTTGGATAAATATTGGGAGAAAATATTTTTAATTTGTAATTAATTTTATTCAAGTAAAAATAAAACTGTTTAAAATTAATTTCATATTAAAATAATTAAATTTACCTTCAGGTAATAATGGACTAGGTTCAGAGAATGGCAAACTTTCTGATAATATGGCTTGGACTTTATCGTTGCCAATACTTGCAGTATTATTCAATGTTGTGTTCACACTAAAATTGATTTTAAGGTAAGCATAATTATTTGTTATGAAAATATTTATGAAACAAGCATAATATATTTATACCATGATAATTCTTCAGAATTTTCTTTTTGTACTAAACCCTTCCAATATTCATGAGCATCACTGATTATTTTTAATGCAAATTCAGCATTTTTGGGTTCACCATTGAATGCAAATTTGTTCTCTGGTTTGCCATCTGGTATTTTATAGATCTTTAACCATTCAACAGTAGCTTTTAATAGGCCAGGGAAATGCTTTTCAATATCCTTAATGTCTAAAAGAAAGATAATAGAATATAAATTAATAAATAACTTAACAATCACTTAACATATTCACTTCGACAACAGAACTAATGATAAAAAGTACTCTGATATGGTGACACACTTTGGTAAGTTTTTATTTTTACACATGCTTAACTACAGTAAATGATTGTTAATTAATTGATTGATTGAGTCGACTCTGTTTAAGGATAACTATTTTTGCTGTTATTTTTTTTCTTTTTATTAATTACATAATTATTATAACAATGTTGAGCTAATTCAATAATTTTTGAGCAGTAACATTTAATGTACTGGTACTTTGTATGAAAATAAAAATAATAATCCTCAAGAGTAATCAAAGCAGTTAATTAGACAAATGAGAAATTATTTAATTGTATACTCAAAAAGTTACTTGCGTTATGAATTGGAAAAAATGTAAAGTCGTACTTGCTAAATCAGTAGAATATGATAGAACATTGGTGGAAGAAATAAAAAGAAGAGGAAGTCAAAGTACAAAACCGAATGATATACTTCAATATAACAAGTTTATAAGAGGCACAGATATTTCCGATAAAACTTTACAACTCATTTTTTGACAGCATATGTTTAAAGGAAAATATTTTAGGCAATTTAAAAAAAAATATATTGTATATAATAAATATATTTTTGATGATTTTGAAAGCTATTTGAAAAAAAAAACATACAGTCGTAGTTACTTTTTATACAATAGTTATTGTAGAGCTTTTTGTTTATTTTGTTTGATATTTTAAAAATATGATCAAAAGTGTTTTCAAAAATTGTATTGTCAAATTATGTAATTTCACATTAAATATAATTATTTTGTTCATATTAGCCTATTTCATTAAATTATCAGTGAATATAATAAATATTGTATTTACCATTAACTTCAGGTGCAATAGGATCATCTACATTAATTACCAAAACTTTCCAATCAGTTTCACCTGTAAATTAAATAATTAAATATTATATAATATAAATTAATGAAGAATATTTTAATCAAGTAATTTTTATTTTTATTTATATTGTTTAAATGATTATTTCATAATTATTTTTGACTATTTTGTTTTTTATGTTTTACAAAATATTCAATAAAAATATTTTTAGATATATTTGAACTAGGTGTTGTTAAAGCTTTTTCAGATCATTTGTTTCGTAGTATAATATTTTATTATTGTCATTGTTGATGTTATTAGGTTATAGATTTATTATGTATAGTAAATGATGATTAAAAATAAATTATCTCTGAAGAATCAATAAACTAATTAAAAATGTTCCAACTCAGAAAAAAAATAAATCAAAAAAACACAATGTTCAATCTGACTAAGATATTACAATATATTAAGAAATGTAAACTTCATGAATGTCATTATGATAAATAGGTATTTATAATTTATCTTACGACATTTGTGGTATTAATATTTGTAATTAATACTGATATAATAAAATACCCAACAAAACTGTACTTTGATCTAATTTTTATAATTTCACAAAAGTATTTATTAGATTAACTGATTACATAAATATATAATTAAATAAAAACTAACCTTCATCAATCAATGCAACAGTTCCCAATACCTTAACTTTAAGAATTTCTCCTCGTTTAGCCACCTTAATTTAAAAGAAACACACAAATTATATTAATTATTGTTATAGTTGATTATACTTATTATACTTTATATCCAATTTCAAGTACGTCCAAAGGATCATTATCCCCTTTGCATCCTGTATGTTCATCTAATACTTCTGGGTTTTCCCATGTTTGAGGAAATGCACCATAATTCCATATGTACCCTTTGTGTGGGAACACATTTGGTACAAAACGTAGTTTACCTTTTTTTGTATCCTGTATGATTGGGTTTAATGCTGCTTTTGTGTTTATCTAAAAAAAATTATATTATAGAAAATATTTCATACCGTGATAGAAGTCTACCATAAATCTTATGTAATTGGGTTCTTATCTATAAATAAATAATAATAAATTTAATGAACTTGTAAATTTAACCTCCATCTTTGCATTTGTCCACCTGGGGATTTCTACCACCATGTTAAAAACTTTCCCTGAAGTATCAGCTAGTAATGGAATATCATGGAATGGAGAAACTACTCCATTTTCATTTTCTGTAAAAAAAAAAAAGAACATATGTAGTAGTATATATGTATAAATTTATATAACCTATAATATATACATAATAGTTGGTAGAAAACAAATAAATAAATACATTTTTTTTTTTAAAATACTACTGAGTTATAATGATTTTTTTCTTTTGAAAATTGTTAGTTGAAAATTGCAACAAAGCAAAATATTGAAAATCAGACATAGATGATACTTACAGAGGTTATTTGTTTGATTTCTATGAAGAAGTTTTAAATTTGAAGTAAAATACTAAAAATGCCAGAAAAAACTAATTTAAAAAATTAATTTAAAGTTTTTTATTTATACAAATTTGATCATAATAAATAAAACAACAATAAAACAATACGCGAATAAAGATCAGTGTAATATAAATAGATATTTAACATCTTATAAAATAGGTACAATTTATAAGTAAATATGATGGATAGCATACTAAAACTATTTTAATTTTATGTACTTTTGTATTAAAATAAATATAAAGATATCATATTATAAGACAAATTTTAACTAATTTCAGTAAATAAATATAAACACTAGCAATTGATGCCAAATTAATTTTGTTTTCTTTAATAACATAAAAATGATTAATACTCATAATGATATAATTATGTTAATCATGATGATATTACAAATTTAAAATTTTTGCTTAGTAACAAATCATAATTTCATTATTGTTATTTTTAAAGATAATTAATAAAGATAAATTTTTTTTATTAATGTAACAATTGAAAGTGAAGACTTTCTAGAGGCAATAAAATTAATCATATTCTCTAACAACATTTTTAATTTTTTTTAATTTTATAATTTATGATATTTTACAATTTACATTGTCACTACATTATAATATAATATTACAAAATATTAAATTAAAAGTATCAAAATATATACAAATATCTAACTTTGAAATAACAATAGATAAGATTATTTTTTCATATATATATACTTTAACTATATAAACAGGTACCTATGTTAAGTATACCAATTAATACTTAAAACATATCTAACAAAATAAGTTAAAAAAAAAATTACATATTTTAATTCTATAACAGAATAAATAAGTGGGTATTTATGAAATTATAATAATTATATAATTATATAATAAGCTACTAAAATATTTAGGATAATGGTAACTCAGTGGAGTTATTTCAGTTTTTTCTAGAGTAGGGCAATCGGTATGCTTTTAATAAAATACAGATTCAGTTGCTCATTTTACCAAAGTGCCGATTAACATGGGGAAAAGAGATGTCAAACCAGTCAAAAAATATGATTTGTATTTAGTAACATATGTATCCGTAAATTACATGTTTTATTTTTTTGATTTACAATATTTCAATGGCTTTATAAAAGTCGTATTTATATTTTGATGATGTGCCGACTTAAAAATAGCATAACTCTAGATTGTAGCAAATATATGATTTGCCCTCATATCCTCAAATTATACACTAATTAAGAAAATCATAAAAGATGGTAAATCAAATGGTAATGAAGAATAATTATAAATAAAATGGATAAAAATGTCTTATATTGGTTTTAAAAATATGATTCCAATGACATTTTACGAAAAATATATTTTTATATTTCTATTTTATAAAAATTCCTACAATTGGTTAACCCATAAGGTCCTATTAAGAAATTGTTCATTCTAATATGGAATAACAAAACTGTCTACAAGTATAATACCTAATAGTTCATGGGATGCATATTCAATATTTTTTTAAATATCCAACCATATACTTTTAAAAGATTTCCAAAAAATAAGATTAATCATAAGTAGGGCCTGGATTTCAATGCAAAGTGCATATTTTTTTGGTTGATCATACACAATGCTCTTTAAGAACATAATTCGTTTCATGTAACGAGGGTTTCAAAATTACAAATTTTATTTTGCATTTTTTTTGCATATTTTGACATTTTTTTACTTTTAGAGCATTTTTAATATTATTTGGTCATTTTGTTGATTTTTAATGCATATTTGTTCAATATACTAAACAAATTTAGCCTATTCAAAATAAAATCAAGAGACAAATTATTTTCTTGATATTTTAATCGATTTATCGAATTTTTCCAAACACATTGTCAATCTTTATTATATAAAAAATGTTTTCGATTCAGTTTTTATCTTATCTTAATTAATTATTGACTATGGAACGTCACCAGTATTCGGTCAAATAACGAATAATCAGCTAGTTCGTATTACCTCGCAGACGTTGCTCGTATTACGTATGAATGTGATTTTAATGTATTAAATAGTGAGTTAAATAAAGCCCAAAGTAAAAAAAATTATGCCATTTTTAAGGTCATTTTTGTGGTAAAATGCATTTTTTAAGGACATTTTTGTCTATTTTTTAGAGCATATTTGTATGAGTTTAAGTGCATTTAAATCCGGGCCTTAATCATAAGCTATATTTACAATTATAGTTCATCCAATAAGGTAGGTAATTCAATTTCATAAGAACTCACTGAACACTGAATTAAATTATTTTATTAAATAAATATTTTAGGTATATACAGGTTAAGAATAAACATAAGCATAAAAAAAAAAAAATTCAATAGTCTTTGATAATTTAATAAGTTAAATGAAAGTATTAGATTTTTTTTTTGTGTCAAGCAACCTTGTACATAAATACGACTGGGATTAAATGAATAGGATTGATGAACATTGTTTAAAAAATAAATAAATAATAAAATAATGAATTTGTAGTAAACAAATCAAAACCGATACAAGTAAAAATAGTAGTTTGTTTCAAAAAATTAGGGATAGAAAAATTAAAAAACTTATATAAACTACCTAACTTTATTTTATTTGATTTCGAGTAAGAAAAATTATTGACTTTAAACTATAATTGATGGAACGATTCAAAATAAATGCTTTGGAAAGCAACGAAGCATCAGATTTCACTCATGTGCACACTATTTCTACGCAGTTCAATAAACGGAAAACCCAACAGGTGTTCGTCGCTAGTCTTAAGTTCAAGGTCGAAAAAAATGACCTCTAAAGCCAGTGAAAAATTGTTTTATTAATAAGTACGAAAACAGAAAAAACGGACTAACTCGATTTTCCAAAGGATAGCTTCAGAACTTACTTATGTACACTTTATAGTCCAAAGTGTTGGGGGAGCCTCGTTCTTCGATATAGTACGACATTGTGCTGAATAAATTCTTGAAAATCGTTTGGTGGACCGGCGACGACAATGATGCGGAAAGTAGACGATTAGGACGACAAATGATGGGGTGGCACAAAACAGAGTGCCGGATAACCTTTTGGATAGTTTTGAAAATCATATTTCCCGAATCTTATCAGAAGCGCGATACGATAAAATCTTGGAGAATAAAAAATGAAAACGAAAAAATTATAGACATGCGTACGCGCGCTCTATAAAACCATACTAAACGTCCTTGGAATTGTCATTGGTTGTCGGATTTGCCGCCAAAAAGTAAATTCGAAAATAGTAAAAGAAACAAGAACGATAGTTCGACGAGTTGCAGACATTTAAATGTTTTAGACGATCGCCATTACATTCACTTTTCTACTGTGCATTGTTTCGTTTTGTTTTCACTGCAAACCATTTGATTTTTCAGATTATCAACACATTTGTAAGTGTAGGTAATGGATATCTTATTAACAGAAAAAAATCTTTAAGAAATCATATCCATTCTTGCAGTTCTTGGACTGAAAGCAGTTCGAATTAAAAAAATTTTATTTTTAAAGATGACGAAAGAATTATTTTTTATGCGCATATTTATCGGCTGATTAAATAATTACTAATTACTAATAACCTAACCATTAATTAGTAAATATTTAATAAGTTAGTTGATAATTATTTCTATGATCACCCAAAATGGTTGTGCTATGTTATACTTATAATGACATAGAAATAAAAAAAATAGAATATTAAATTTAAAACTATTTATTTTTCAGATGAAGTATTTAGCTACATTTGGAAAGGTCACATTTCCATTTTCTGTAGTTATTATGGTGGTGATATTATCCAGAAAGTTTTCCATTGTTATGAAATTATTTAACGGTTGTGATGATGGTAATAATGATCCCAAAAACTGCAGTAAAAACATTACATAGGCCAACAGCAAACCGAAACCCTATAAAAAAATATTACAACTGTACCAATAAAATATTTAAATATATTTATTGAATACTTATTTTATAAATCAAAAAATTCGAATAGATAAAAAATTATATTATTAAACTTAAATTATTAAATTTAATATTGTTTATAATGGTAAATAAAATATATTATCGTAATACATATGATTGAATATAGGAAAGATTTTCCAAAAGATATTTTAGTATACTTGACTGAAAATAATTAACCTCTTAAATTAATTGTATATTAATTATAATATTTCTATTCAATATAAAAAGTATTTGATTTTAACTCAGGAGCACAATTATTCGAGAAAAATGTCTCTTGTTATTTGGACATTTTTAATACCTACCTGAGTACCCGAGACAAAATTAAATTTTTGTGTCCACTATTAATGAATATTTTTATATCCCTCTTTATTGTTTATTTACCAATTAGTTTATTAACTAATACGTAATTTTAAAATTTTAAAAATGTATATTTTCTTTTATATAAATTGCTTTCACCTGTTTTTTTTTGTGTTATAAGTGTATTGACAAAAAAATGAATTATTATTATTATTATCTTCAATAACACTTAATTAATTACTATTAATAACTTAATAACTAACATTTTTCTTCATACATCCTCTATAATTATTAAAAAGTAAGCATCAAAACTATAATAAATTCTATAAAAATATTTATTAATATTGAATACGGCTTAGCCAAAATTATTTTAAGAGGGGGGAGGGACTGATTATTTTTTTTCAAATCAAGGTAGTTAAAATAAGGACTTTCATAATCTTAGTATATTGATGCCGAGGTTTTAAGTTTAGTTTCCAGTACGATAACCCTAATTTGTATTTATAATGATACTTTAAATACTTTTATGCGTGTTATTTTTTATAGTACCATTATATCAATCATTTTATACTAATTTCATAAAGTGGAGGGGAATTAATAATGTTTAGTTATTATTAATGAATTATAATTTATTGACATTTTATAATATTAAACAATACCTTATTTAATAAACATCGATACACTATAAAAAAAAAAAAAATTACGTTACTTAATTTATAATAAATATTTAAAAACATTTTTAAATAACTAAGAAAATTAACTGCCAAAATATTCAAACATTAATTTCAACCTTTGAGTTTTTCCGAAAATATGTACAATATTCAATGATTTGAAATGTCGGTATTTAGTAGATATATACACACAGTGCCGGCGCTAAGGGAGGACAAATGGGACATTTTTCCAGGGCCCCGCGCTTATTAAAGGGCCTCGTGATATTTAATTATCACCTTAATACCGTGAGACACATTGACATTTTATATCAACAAATTATAAATCTATATTATGCCTATCATTAGTTATTTGGAAAATGGTATCTAAATTTAGCCATAGTACAAATTACAAAGTAAATAGTTATTGATACGACGAAAGCGTAATGTTTTCACGATACCCGTCGAGTAGGATTCCTACAATAAATAATAATATAAATATTTATTTTCTCTATAGTTATTGTTTAAAATTCGAAGAAAAACAGTATTTTTTTTAAAAAATCCTGATTTAAAAAAAAAGCTAGAATTTCGGCCTTTCTGGGAATCTATAGGCTAATACCCATGTCTAGGGCCCCGCAATACCTAGCGCCGGCATTGCATACACAAATATTGAATAGATAGGTACTAGTAAAGTATTATTCATGAACGATCTACGATCGATTTGATTCGATGAAGCTAATTAAATAAAGATAACAATCAGTAAAATATTAAATTTTTACAGGAAAAGAAATCATTTTTAAATTTTAAAGGAGGGATTTTAACCTCTTCAGTTACCACTGAATTTGCTAATAGATTTTTGACTAATATTCCGTAATAATCTAATAACTTACCGCATAGAAAAAAGTCATATTAATATTAATTATTCCAAATATTTGAAATTTTGAACTTATTGCATCTAACTGGTTTTGAAACAAAATTATCTGTAATAAATAAATTGAAAAAATCATGTACTCACAGTTCAAGTGAAAGATAAAAATGTACCTTAAAACTAATTAAATTTTTTTCTGGGTAGGAATTAGGCTTCTTTTGCAAATATTTGACTAAAATTATTCATTAATTTTACATTTACTATCAATATTCTAATACAGTTGAGTAATTTTAAAATAAATTAAAAATAATTGAGATTATGAACCAGGATCACCTAACAAAATTTGTTATACTTAAATCACTAAAGACTAAACGCGCAGAAGAAATAGTTAACTTTTGGAGCACCAGCAGTTCTTTACTTCGATAACAGGAAAGAGTTTGTTAACAATATAATTACTGAATTACATACTATGCGGGGAGAATTTAAAATAGTGCTAGAAAACCAAGACATAGCCAGTCAGGAGTCCGTAGAGCATGTGAATCGGGATGTGGAAGATTTATTACCAACATGGATCTGTCGAAATTTCGAAAAAATTGTGCTTTTTTACAAACACAGGCTAAAAAAGTGATTCAAACATCAAATAAAAAATATAATGAACTTAGTGTGGGAACTACAGTACGTATGAGTATTCCTGATGTAGACCACGCTCCTGGATTACCGAAAAATCTATTAGCGGTTATAACAGAAGTGAAAGAGGATTTATACAAATTATGAAAATATTATACTAGTATTTTTGTATTTTATTTAATATTTCTGTAAATAAACACTTAACATAGATTAATTACATTTTTTTTATGAATTGTAGGTACTGAAAGTAGATATCTTAAATACAAGTACACGAGATCGGAAATAAATCCTTGTAAAACAAATTTACTAGATCTAACTATAGTCTTAAAATCGGCAGGTCATACGAGAAAACCTATATATCTTTGGGAAACAGCTACTAAAATTAGAATTTCAAGGGCACAAAAGTATATCCGATGTCACTGCAAAACAAAATGCAAGACAAACCGGTATGCAGACAAATCAGCATCCAGAGTTTGTAATTCGTAATGTCACAAAAGTTGTCATGCAAAAATAAAAATGAAGTAGATAAAAGTAATAAAGTAAAAAAATACATTTATTTAAATATAAAATTAATATATTATTTTACAGTGAATATATATCATTGCTTGCCATCGTTAGTCAATGATAACATTTTCCAGACAATGACATAATTTGCTAAGGTTTTTAGGAATTGCCATCATTTCCTGATTGTTAACATATTCGGTAACATATATATGAATATACATTTTATAGGGTGTAAATATTTTAACAATTAACAAATGTACGAGTTGTTCAAATTATCAGCGAAATTTTATATTATACTTAAAAACTAATATTTTAAGTAATGTTATTTTTTTTATTTTTTAAGTTTTAAATTTAGTACCTACCTCTGGCATTAATCTCCTGCTAGTGACTGGATTTAATGCTAATGTGAGCCAGCTCAATGAAATCCGTATAGGTATAATCTATATATAGTATTTAATGGTATTAAAAATAATAATATTAATTAAACACAATTAAATATTTAATTTTGATGCATAAGTTAACTATAAATTAACAGAAATTATATTTCTTAGATACTAAAATGTTTATGTAATTGGTTATACGTATAGTATATAATAATATATCTGTTAAATAGATATATATTATTGTTAATATATGTAAAATGTAATAAATCGGTTAAAGATTAATAAAAGGTATTATATACTTGTATATTTATACATACATACATGCATACATACATACAGTGCTCGGATTGGGGGGGGGGACAGAGGGACGGAGTATTTCTTCTAATCTTTAGAAATTTTAGCGTCCCCTACTATTATTACGTTATAATTATAACGCTTAACAAGTTTTGGGGCGCAATTTTTTTTTTAAGCAAACAGAGTCTTCCTTTTTTAATTTTGCTAAGTCAAGCACTGCATACATACATACATACATACTTACTTACACAATAATATATTATAAAAATCTATCATAGTTAAATAAAACAAACACAAATGATAGAAAATTTATTTTAAATCGTAATCAATTATATTATATTAGAACTATTAGGTAAGTTAGATTTGACTACAAATTAAAGAATGAATCTTGATATATTTAATTATTTGAGTATGGGTTTTCTTATGCTACAATTAATATTAAATAAAAAAGAAGTTAGAAAATAACTTCTAAAAATGCAAGTAAACAATTAGCCAATTAGCATTATGACTTTTGAAATACAAATAACAATGAAAAATAGCGAATAATATAATTTCAAAAACCTGATATAATATATATTTGTATGTATTTAGTGGTCTAGCATTTTTTCAACTTCTAAATATTATTCAGTCAAAATATTTGGTTACTTGCTCTAAAATCATATTTTTTTATCGTGGTTAATTCTAAAACCAACCGTTTTGGTCCCCCTACCTTGTATTTTATAGTGATTTTTGTTCAATAGTCTTATTTTAAATGTACTGGTCTGATGTACATAACAACGTACATTTTGTTAATCACATGAAACATTGAGGTTACACAATTTTCTTGTGTTTTATTATATAGTAGAACATTTAATATTGATGAGAATATTTTAAGTAATTACTATAAAAGTACACAGCCTTATTATATCGAACTTATTGTTAAGTGTAATCAATTTATTTTGATATAAATCTTAGTGCTAATAATATTTTTATATTTATTATAATAATTTAAAATATAAGTGTGTGTAATAAATGAATCTTACTTTTTTTGTTATATAATGTTCACACGAATGTATGTACCATAGCCGTATAATTCGAATTAAACAATATCCAGAGTACAATAACGTTTTTCCATAATTTGTCGTGATGTTTTTGTTCCATATTGCATTAGTCAAATAGTATGCTAGCTCAGACGTATAGACAACTATACGAAATCCACTATCGAGTAAATTTAATAACAGCGGTAATTGGAATGAGTAATTTATGTGCCAAAACAATTCCATTGCTTTTAAATGTATATTTCTTAAATTTCGAATATCTGACATGCTAAATGCCGGTATTCCTAAACATGTCGGACCTCCAACTGTAGGACTTACCCAACATTTCCACCTCGGATATTCGGCTTTATGAACCAAATTTGTTATATCTTCGTGGAGATGTTGAAGTCGAAGGTACAATGCCAAACACATAATATAGAAATATTGTTCAACCATAATACAAACGATGTTTGATAATAACGAAAATAGACAAATGAAGTATTGATCATTGTATCTATAAAAAATAAAATATTTTATTCATAAGGTCATTGGATATTTATAAATTTTTATTTTTGATTGGTTTGCCCTTTTCCTAAGTTGTTACTTAGCTAATCACCATTAACTCGATGATAATGCAGGTTCTTAGATAATACAGTTAACGATGAGTGATGAGAATGAAGAGGACAAAAGTAGAAAAAAATTAGGAATTTGAAAATTAATATGATTTTTACTACTCCTTTTTACCATAGATAATGAAAGTACTTACAGAGTTATGCGGTTATATGATAGTAAAAATATATTGTATATTTGTATGTACAAACTAAAAAAATGAAAGTTACAACTATGGTTTGGTTTTCCGTTAAAAAATTAAAATGTATAAATGTAATAATAGTTAAATATAACAACACAATGCCAAATTTATTTAGTCTTACGTCTTTGCTTTCATTTTCTACTCATCGAATTAGATAAATAAAACCCAATACATTGTAAATTTAAACAAATTTGTATCCATATTAAGAAAATTATAATTAAATTGTTGAAATTATGTTATAATTTTCTTAATATGGATACAAATTTGTTTAACTTAATAGTGTCGGATCTAATTCTGAGGAGGCCACAGTGCAAGTACCAATTGGAGAACCCTTAAAAAAAAAAAAAAAATACTCAACATAACATTTATATATTTATTTAAAGTATCTTGATATATTAAATAAATAGAAAAAATAAATAAATAAATTTCAGTACCATATAGTTAATAGGTAAATTAAAAAAAAAAAATAACGAAACAGAAAACTTGAGTCCCCTGTGGATTATATCTCTCCACCACTACTAAATGTATAAGATATAATATATCATTATTATAGTGACTCTTGAATCGTATGGACAAATGGTACCGAACTCTATACTTAGGTCAGGTCACGGCCTGACCACATGTTTAAAATAGGGAGCAGATGGGTTGATCTATGGTTTGCACAGAAGTTTATTCTCGAGAGGAATGCCGGACGGACTCTATCGGATCGGTACGTATATGAATGGAACAAAAAAATGTAGTTTAGGTTAGGTAAGGAAACATGACATGCCAGGGAAATTGTCACTTTGCGTATATGTTACGTGCTTTATGCCAGCCACAGACTCTGGCCGAATGACGAAACCATTCGCTAAAAAATATTATTATAGATCAGAGAGCTATCTTGTATGCGCTCTACTATACAATTTATATCTTTATTATCGTGGTAATAAAGAGTAGTACTCTTTCTTCCTGCATCATATAATTTTTGATCGTCTATTTAGTCGTCCGGTGACAATACTTGAGTCCACACTTCATACACGATTTTATATTTTCACGTGAATTTCAAAATGATTGCAAAAGAATTTTACAAAGCGAAGAATCAGTTACTAATTTTTTAATTGCGAAAAATCTTCTAGTATATGTAAAAAATATATTGTGTAATAAATGTGATAGTGAAATGAAGTATTACATAAAAAAAGAACGCGAGAAAGAAAGGAAATTGTTGAGGTGTGAAAGGAAAGGGTGTCAAACTACTTAAAGTATAAGTATATATTACCTATATATTTAGAAAGGATAATAGTTTTTGGACGTAAATCGACAAAAATGGCTGTAACAATAGCAGATTGTGCATCGGTGCACAACTTGAACTCGTCTATTATTGGTGTCAAAATAAAAAACAGTCTACAATTATCACTTTAACCGGTACATCAGATCATGCAGTGTGTGACTGGATGAACTTATGTAGTGATGTATCTATTAGAATGTTTCAAAATCGTACTAAATTTGGGGGAATCGGAATAGTGATCCAAGTTGGCGAATGCTTATTAAGAGAGACGAGGAAAAATAATAAAGGTCGACTTCAACTTGCAGATTTATTAGCCGAAAATCTAAACGTTGAAAACTACTCTGACTCGGAAAATGTTAATCCTCTAGAATACGGAGCAAGAAACTATGGAAAATGGTTTAATGGATCATGGGTATTCGGCTTGTGTGACAATAACGAAGGAAGATATTTTGTTGTCCAAAAAAGGGATAAAAAAAACTGCATGAAATTATACAAAGAGGGGTTATTTTTGGGTCTACAATACATTACAATGGCTGGTCAGGGTATAATGGACTTTCGGACCAGGGATACAATCACTACGTTGTATATCACAGCGAAAATTTTGTAGATCCAATATCGAGGGCACATACACACAGGATCAAAAGTTTATGGGGGCCTTTGAGGCTAAAAATTGTGAAAAATATGTGTGGTACAGCTCCAGATTTGCTTCCAAGGTATAATAGAATATAATAAATTTTTATTCGAATACATATTTATTCGAATAATTATCTAGATAAAATTTTGCCCAACCCTGTCTCAGGGATATGGCATAAGTATTTTAATATTTATTTATTTAATTTAAATTATTTTTATATTTTTTATTATTTATTATTATTATTTAACGAAACGATGATAAACGCGTTGATTATATTATTATTTTTTTTATTATTATTCAAAACAAATAACGAGACGACGACGACGAACGCGTTAATTGTATATAATAATTTGCAATAATTATATAATATATTACTTATTCATACAAATGTTTGCTCTTCATTAAAACCACTGTTACATCATCCTACTTATTACGAGAATATATTGTCTAAAATCTAAATATAATTTTAGCCTAGTACCTGTAACTGAGCGCATACTGTAGTCGCAATGTTGCCGGTAGAGCGCATACGACAAGATAGCCGATCAGGGGTGGTCAACTGGCGGCCTGTGAGCCATTTTTATCTGGCCCGTGCTATATTTTCAAATTATATCATACAATTTTAAAGTTTATCGTCTATATAATAATCGTCTTATCGATATAATAATTGTTATCTGATATTAAACATCGGTGAATGTCTAAATGATGGATTTTCAGGATGGTCTAAGGGCCGAGACTAAAAAAGAAGAATGTCTAAATGTCATATGTATGTATACTGGAGCGTCGATTATCCGCAAGTTAATTATTCTCACTATAAAATTGTTGTGTACAAATTATTGATCTTAATTATTGATTTTCAATATTTATTTAAGATTGGCTAGAAAATGATGCAAATGATTTAGGATTTGAGATATTGAACAACGAAGAAATTGTTAAGCATTAAAAGAATTAGAATTGCCTTCTGAAATTGATAGTGAATATGAAGATGCCGAGAACTATATTGGTCCTACACTTGGTAAAGCTTTTACAGAAATGGAGTCAACAATGCAGTGGTATGAACTAGAGTGTAATAAAATCGAACTTTTATTATTAAAAAGAGTAAAGGATTTGGCGGTGAAAAAAAGAAGTTCATCGGAAGTACAAAAAAAAAAAAAAATTGATTATTATTTCAAATAAATACATTATATTTTTATTATTTCAAACATAGCTATTTGTACCGAATTATTTAACTATATTAGTGTCATCGTATCATTCGTGTCATGCTTTCGTCTGTGTTAAATTTACTATTTTTTATATATCACTATATTTTATATTTTTAAAAATTGGCCTACTAGTAACTTTGAGTTGCCCATCCCTGCTATAGATCATTGGTCGGCAACCTTCATAGATCCTTACTTGGGCCACATTCACAAATTAAAAAGGGTTTACGGACGATACAAACATTTGGTATGATATTCAATGGCAATGGCTGGTTTTGGAATTTACTGGGAGCCGCCAGTTGCCGACCACTGCTTTAGAGGTTGTCGGTAACCCTAAAGACGAACATTGGCGATAGTTCGGGCAACTGTTATCCTATCTTTTCACACGGGTGTGAGGTTCTCCTCGCCAAAAACCTCCCCCTACCACCCGTAGATCCATTGCCGAACACCCGTCTGCAGATGGACCGAATCGACGTCGTTGATGACTCCTACCTGACCACGACGAGTACGAAGTACATGCTGAACTCGTAGACGATTAGCGCGACGCCGACGTACGCGGAAGTGGACAACCAGTAGCCGCGGTGGCCCGCGTACGCGCCGCAGTGGTCCGGCTGCAGGAAACACTCGCCGGCGAGCGTGGCCACCGAGGGTAGCGCCATCTGCAGCTGGTTCGCGGCGGTGGTGGCCAGCGACACGAGCGCCATGTACATGTACAGCTCGTCGACGTTCAACGGCGACGTGGTGAACAGTTTGTTCTTGAGCCGCTGGTGGTGGCCGTCCAGTTCCCGGTAGAACATTTTGCCCACGGAGCCGGCGGACGACCAGAACAGCAGCACGTGCACGGTCTTCATGGTCACGCCGAACCAGTGCAGGCGAAACCGTTTCGACGACGACGACGCCGCCTCCACGGTGTACGGGAACACGCCCAGCAGGTAGCCGCACATCCACACGGGCCGGTAAAATGTCATCGCGTTCGGTCCTGACGGCGGCAAACGCAGTGCGGGTACACCGAGAACAGCACCGACTGCGGGGAGGTCAGTACTGTTTCGCACCACCCGGCACCATCGCGCCAACGTATTCGTAACGGATCCGATACCGGGACGAATATATGTATTCTAATGCGCGAACATATACGACGCCCACGCACGTCGTACACGCCCAACCGCGTTCGTCGTCGAAACGGTTGTCACGTGTTTTCGTTCGGTCGGGCGGTGTCGTTGGACGCGGTGACAATACGCGTTATAATTTTCTTTTTCTACGTTCGCACCAATATACGGGTCGAACTACAATGTCTGTCAACCGATTACAATGCGCTTGTGCTCCGAACAACGATTCGGAAAAAGGCACAATTATCGCTACTGTTAGCGACCAAACGTTTTGGACAAATGCGACGCGATTGTCAGCGCGTGTTCTATCGATTTAATGTCAGTCCGGTTCGGTTTTCTTCTATTTTTCGCGTCCTTGCGCCGGTGCTACGAGCACGGTCGCATAGTGCGGTCGAACAATAAACGGTCAAAACACTTTTACGTAGTTGTTCATAAGCTCTTGTTCGCCTTAAGTGATTTTGATGTTCAAACGTCAACTATCAATAATGCGACAGCATTAAATATTCAGATATTTACGCTCAGCACGTTGTGGTATAGTTTCCGTCATCTTTAAACGCCGCACTAAGTTTAATGGGCGTAATAAAATATTTCACGGTACACTACGGCGCGTATAATGCGACAATAGTTTTTTCAAATTGAAAATAACAACTCGATAAAACTCGCATGACTTACGAAACAATGTGTGTCCGCCTAACCGTACTCGTAACTGTTTTCCGAAAACAATTATTTCTATTTGATGATCAACCGCAAGACACGTTATACAATATAATACGAATGTATTTGTAGAATAAGTTTTATTTGAACTATGATGTCTTAGCGTTTAATTTTTATTTCAATTAACAGTCGAATAAAAAGATAAAATGTGCATAGAAAAATATAGACTAACTTTTAAATTTAATAATATTTTCGATCTGCTGTATGCAGATCAGTAATCAAACCCGTTCAGCTTCCAGAATTTATCCTTCTATTGTGTATAATTTTAACATTGAAGATTCAGTTCAATACGATAAATCATACACATTTTCCTGCGTTCTGTATACGAGTCGGATCTACTAATGAAGACTATGTTTGTACTGGGTATCATATAAATTGTATCGGAGAGTTTCCTCTTTAGATACCTGATTCGGCAATGTCTGGCAGTTATATCTATCGCGACTTATAAATTGACTTACCCTTGTGTCAGAAAATTATCTTAATTTAAATATCATTTTGCTTTACTTTTCGACTAAATAATATTGAGGGTAGGATTTTTTAATCATTTAAGGTTAAAATAACAAATTATTCGTAATATAGAAAATGATTAAAAAATACAATGCATACTTGTTTTTTTTTATCAGATAGGTTTTAATAAATGTTTATACATAGAAATGGTAAAAAACACTAGGTGTTGTATTTATGTAAGTATATTTTATTTGTAAATCATGCAATTTTATTATTTATTATATTTTCAAAATAAAATCAACCAGAGAGTAGAGTTGAAAAAATAGTGTTTCGTGGGGATGAATAAGAGAATATATGTAATTTACATAGGCTTCATGGGTGCAGAGTATACTAAAAGGCAGTGCTCGAATTGGGAAAAATTAAGTAGAGGAGCTCAGTCCAACGGTTTGAAAACTGCGTTCCACGTGCGCAATTATTTGACACAGACCCGTGGGGGGCTTCATCTCTCTTCCCCCCCTCCACCAATCTTAAAGATATTTTGAATACCACTTCTCAGCTAAAAAAATATTTAAATTTCAAATATAATATATTTTGATAACAATACCAACATCCTATATGTTACAATAGAAAATAAAAATAAAATAATAATTAACATAGGTAATTATAGGCGACCAGGCAGTCTCATGAATCGAATGATATAATCATATATTTGGTTTTTGTTTTTATCTATTTTTCCTCTTTAGTGCGGGCCACGCCCTTAGATTAATAACCTTATTAATAACAAACCGAATAATGTATCAAGTATAATACACCAAATTTACAAACATTACTATTTATATTTTTCCAGAAATGACGACGTTGTCCCTTATCATAACCACCATATTATCTTTAATTATAAAAATAGTGTTGATATTATAAATCATAAATTCATTTTCCAATTGACGTAGATTGAAATTCACATAAAAATTATTTTGGACATCAATTAGGATGAACGTGGTGTCTCCCTGTTTCGGTGAAAAAATATAGTTGGGATACGCAAAAAAAAAAAATAGTAGAGGAGCTCCATCCCCCTGCGCACCCCCCCTACAATTCGAGCACTGCTGAGAGGAGAAGAATTAAGTGAAAAGAGAAATTAATGATAAAAGAAATATATGACTAAGGCGGAGATGATTCTGTATTAGACTAGGTCCAGATTTGGAAAAGGCAAGATTCGGTCCAGGGTTTTTTAAAATGTCATGCGGCGTGAGAAGGAAGTCGAACCTAACCTATTCGCCATTAACTAGGAGATTAACATGGTTCGGTACTCAGAGGTATTTGAAAGTATTATGGGTAATGAAGAGTGGATGTGTTCGGTATTTGATCTTGAGAATGAGTGGAGAAATAGATTAAATTTAGGAATTAGGATTGGATAGAAATAAGGCATGTTTGGGAATCGGAAATTAAAAATCTATGGGAATTTAAAGAAAAAATAAATTGAAGGGAGTGAATTATAGTGAAGAATTTGGCAGTAAAAGAATATGCACGAAGGTGGGGGGAAGAAAAAAATATAACTACCGAAAGAAAGAAGACTGAAAAGAGACATGTTAATCGGTTCATGAAGACCAAAATCGAGTTTGGGAAATTGAACGATATGAAATTCGAGAAAAGAAAGTTAACAAGGGTATTAGAGAGTGAAATTAAAATACAATCGTTAAATAATAAATTTCTTAATAGTTCCATTCGGTTAGTTCAGTTTTAGTTCAGTTTCGGATAAAGTAAATAGATTTTGTATTTTCTACTTACAAAGTTTGACATGTAATAATTATATTAATATATATTATAATATAATATAATATTATTATTTATTGTTAAGTAAAACTATAGATAATATTTTTCTTAGAATAAAATTTTTTATTAATGAAACTAATCATAGAATTTTTTATTTTATTTAATACCCTAAATTAATTATTTCCCTGAATTCGTTTCATTATTTAATTTTGTAGATATATTTTCCATTGAAATGTGATTGACTCCAAAGAATTGTAGCAATAATGCAGTATATGTCAATATTGTACCAAATCCCTGTACAATAATCATGAAAAAAAAAAAATGTTATGAAATCTATATAAAAATATATTAAATACACTTACCGTATAAAGTAATGTCATTTTAATATTTAAAACGCCGAATATATGGAACTTGGACTTAATAGTATCAAGTTGATGTTGAAACAAAATTATCTGAAATTATATTTTCGAAAATATTTAGACTAAATAACAATATTTTAAAATTATAAAATATGTTCAATGATGTAAAAACTAAAATATTTTTAGATATATTAACACAGAAAAATGCATTGCATAATTTTTTTATTTATTCTAAAATAACTTAATAATAATTTTAATTTGAAATATAAATGTTACTAGAAATACAAGTTTAGATTCAGAGTGAATCGATGTAAACGATATCTTTATTAATATTGGTTTATTTTAAATTATTTTTAATATAATCGAAAATTTCTTACACAGATAACTTAGTAATTTGATTATTATAGTTAAGCTAGGTTTACATGGACGTGCGTCACGCGTTTAACTTTAGTGATTATTCACATGGGCGAGCAAAAACCAATGTTTAAACATGTTTCTGCGAAAAATGTTTCTTTTTATTTTACATCTTAGCATATAGTTTTTATTATACACTCGACAAAAATGGAAGTGTCGAAGCTGTGTGTTTTTGGGTCACATATCGAAGAATGAGAAGACGAAGACAAAAAGAAGAAATAAAATATTGGGTCCATTCAATTTTAAAAACTAGACTTTCCTCAAACCATTATATTACTTAGTATCCGAAGCTTAGGGACATGACGAACATTTTTTTATTTAATTTCGAATGTCAATTAAATCATTTGATGACCTGTTAAATTTACTTAAAAAGTTCTATTTGAATATTCACTTGACGACATATCTCATATGGCTGGCCTTTTTACTTCACTAATAAATAAATATATTGTACATATAAAAATAATATACAATATAGATAAATTCCACAAAGTAGCATGAGTATTAAATCATTCGATGAACTAAAAGCTGATGAAAATGCAAGGCTTTTCAACTATACGGTCCGATAATAATACGAGTACATAATATTTCAATCTGTGGTGTCACGCGCGTGTTCGCGCGTAATGGTGCGGCCCCACTGAAAGCGATTCTGAGTTTTTGCGTTTCGAGCGTTTCTGCGATTTTACATGCGCGATGTCCACTAGCGATTTTGATGGGGACACTTTAGAGATTTTACATGCGTTTCTACAATTTTACGTCACGCGAGTTCGTTTTATTTTTCATTAGTTTATTCGATCCTCAACCAAGATGACGTCCAGAAAAATGTTGCTGGCTGAATGTACTGCTTTAATTGACATTAAAGTAAATTATCATCCATGTCGAGATCTTTTCCAGCATTGGACCAACATTTTTGGATCTTAGTCCTATTACTGTGGTCTGGGTGTCTAGGATTCCAAATAGCTTTCTGAACAAAGACAGCGACAGCTATTTGTTCGGACACAACTGACGCGGAAGACATTTTGATACCGATTAATCGCCGAATATCAAACCATTTTGTTCTTTCAGCGATTACCGCGTGTGTAAAGCTACACGCGACACGCGACACGCGCTCAGTGAGGCCACTATATATGAGTTACATACTTTTGTTAAAATCGCTAAAACGCAAAATCGCTACACGCTATCGCTAAAACGCAAATCGCTTCCAGTGGGGCCGCACCTTAAATAGGAACTTGTACCGTCATCACGATCGACGCGTGTAAACAAAATATGAACGATATATGAGAAACTCGTATATCTATAAAAATTATAAAATGAGCCACTTGTATTATATTAAAATATATTTAAAATTTTGTATTTTAAGACTTAAATAATAATAGTATACCATATATCCTGGAAAACATTAACAAATGTATAAGTATATAGTTTTATATAATTTAATTTTTTTATAATAATATTTATAAGTATTATTACCTCGGGCATAAGTCTGCGGCTTGAAACTGGATTCAAAACCAGCGAAAGCCAGCTCAGTGACAAACGTATTGGTATAATCTGCAAAAGAAAAATGTTTATGTATATAAAAAAATAAAATCTATGATATAAGACATATTTTATATGTAGATGATCCGATTCAGTGGTTTAAGATGTATTATATAGGTTTCTAGATATCAGTATAAAATATATAATATATAACCAGCAATCGTGCACAGTGAACTCGTGTAATGAAACACAGTAGAGATGCAAATGTCTAAGTTGTTGAACGACCACTAAAAGGAATGAGAAAAATTGAGTGTTTTTGAAAGAAAAATACTTCGGAAAATTTTTGGATCAAAAAGGAACAAAGATTTCAGAATATTATTTAGAGTAGTCATTATTAATGGAATCATGAAGAGTAGTATAATAATATGAGCTAGTCATGTTTGTAGATCTGAAGGATTATTGGGTAATATAACAAAACGAATACCGAACATAAAACGACCAGGAAAATAGTGAGCAGATAGAATCGAGAAAACCTCAGAATGTTAAGAATGGAGAACCTGGAACAAATTTTAAGGGACAGGGAGAAGTGAAGGGACGTAGATGTCACGGCAATGGAGTTTATTGGTCTTTACGATGCCATTGAATAGGAAGAAGAATAAGAGATTGCGCATAGTTAACTCGTGTAACGAAACACAGTAGAGACGTGCATGCCTAATGTTCTCGAAACACCATAAGTGCTTTGTTTGTTTTTCGAGGTGCTGAGTTCGTCAGTCAATCTACTCGTAGTGCAGAAGGCCAGACGGATAGGGTCCAGGGTCGATTTAAGTTCGTTCATGCCAGAAGTCGCAACGTTCCGGCACTGTTACCGATCGCGCATACCTTTTTGGTCACGTAGTGCTCGCACAGGTGCAGGTGCCACAGTCGGAAAACTCTGGTCACGCAGTAACCGGAATATAAGACAGCGTCGACGTAGTTGATGTGTTTCTTCTTCTCCCACAAGACGATGGTCACATCGAACGCGATGCCGTACAGGTAGATGACGATGCGGAACGTGCAGTCGACTATGCAGAATGACAACGGCAGCTGGAACAGGTGGTTGATGCGCGTGAACAGCTCCATGCAAGCGCGGTGGACGGTCCGCAGGTCACGGATGTCGGAGGCGCTGAACGCGGGTATGCCCAGCCGCGTAGGTACTCCGGCCGCGGGCGTTACCCAGCATCTCCAACGTGGGTGCTCGGCCTTGTGCACCAGCCTCTTGATATCCTCGTGCAGGACCCGCAATCGGAGATACAGGGATATGCACATCAGATAGAAGAATTGTTCAATCACGATGCACGCGATGTTCGACAGCAATGGAAAAAAACAAATCAGTTTTGCTATGTTGTAAGTGAACCTACATACAGACACACGTGTGTTCTTATATTAAATTTGATGGTTTCACACCAGTTTCTTGTGGGATCACATGATGCAGAACTTATTATTCCATTCGGGGTGTTTCTCCTTCAAAAGTTTGAGCATTTGTGTTGACACGAACAATTAACTGTACCTATCGCAGTAATGGAAAATTTAAAGATGACAATGAAACTCGCGTCAAATAACATTTTTCTTTAAACAAATCATTAAATTTCGATTCATAGAAAATATCTTTTGCTTTAACGCAAAACTTTTTGTATTACCACTGCACATAATGAAAGTCTCTTTTCAAAACATATTTACATTTTATCTGCGACCTACGAAGAGCAGTTGATAGTCATCTATCATCTAACTTTCAGTGATTGAACGTGACTATAACGATAGAGAAATAATACAAAAGCTTATTATCAATGTTATACACTTAAACGTCTTTAGTTCAAAGAACTCTGAACTTGTATACGTTGAATTAAACGTTAACGAAATCCATATTTCTATAATCGACAAGTTTCTTCCCGCTTACAAATATATCAATAAATGGCATTCTCACGGACAAACAAATAATAATATCATGCGTTGTAATAGGACCTCGATAATCCGACGTACAACGGGACCAGTAAGTTTTTAGCTTACCGGTCCGAGAGTTTGCCCGGAAAAAGGAAACGATGGTTTATTGAAGCAATAAATGCTGCGAACGCGGCAAGTAAGTTGCAATAAAATAAAATTTATAACGCTGCAACGATAACGTGACGATTATCCGTTTTGATTGCTTTTCACGTGGGGTGAATCACGCCTAATAACGATAACCAATCGCAGTATTCGCATAGTCGTACATATCGGCGGTGTAGTTAACAATGGAAGGAAACGTGCACACGTCGGATTGCCACAAGGGGTTGTGGTACGAGCTGTGCCTTGCTACCCCATGAACGTATCGGTAACGACCCGGTGCAACGCATGACTACGGGCATGCCTACAACGCACTCACTTGTAAGTGATTAGGAAGAAGTACATGGCGAACTCATAGACGACAAGCAGGACGATGGTGAACGCGGTGAAGAACTGCCAGGCGCCGGTGACGTCGTCCAGCCGGCACAGGTCGAAAAAGCACTCGTTCACGGCGTGCGTAACGGAAGGCCAGAGCATCTGGGACTGGCACAAGGTGGTGGCTGTGATGCCGAGAATCATCATATACACGAACAGCTCGTCGATGTCCAGCACGCGCGTGTTCTTGATGGGCTTCCGGTAGTTCTGCAGGTTATGGAGGGACGCCACGGCGAGCATGCCGGACACCAGCCAGTAGAAAAGCGTGTAAAATGCCTTCAGCACCACGCCCGGCCAGTGGACCCGGAACCGTTCGCGTTCCGAATCCCGCGGGCACGGGGTCGTCGCCGGGAAAACGCCGAACACGTACGCGCACACGTGCAGCGGCCGGTATAGCTTCATGGCGGCACGTGTCCTACAACCACAATAATGGTAACGGGCGTTTATCGTAATAAAACGTGTTATTTGATGTAGTTAAGACTCATGGGTCCCCGCGATGGCTTACTCAGCTATACGCTCTTATACAGTTATATTTATATATAATATTTCGTATTGAAAATAAATAATAATAATATCCGAGTGCAGTATGAATCGCCACTAACCCGTCCGAAAAGAAAAAGAAAAATAGAAACTAGACAGCGCGGAAAAGTCGACCTGTCCCCCACCACCCCTACCGGGTCGGGGTTTCGTGGACGAGCTTGTCCGTTAATTCGCCGTCGCCATGGTCGACCAACAACACAATAAAGACGGTCAGTTACGCGACCCAAAAACGTCATGTCGTAAGCTCTGTAACGGTATTGTTTTCCCGTCAAAGTTCGGGTTTTTACATTCTATTTTCATCGTATTTGTCACCGTATATTAGAAAAATGGAACCTAATAAAAACACTATACTACCCGTGGTTTGTAATTCTAATCGAAAGTTTCTGTACCACCGTTACAATCGTACTCGCTTTCTCCGCCGGATGATAATGCGAACACATTTCTGTATTGTTATTACAACTATAGTTATTGTGCGCCTCGCAACCGTTGTTAGAACTCGATCGGCATGCGTTTTTGAACATCGGTGCGTTGTGTCTCGGTCGACGTTCTACTGATCACATACACCATTATAATATAATTTTAAGTGAATTATTTTATATTGTGATTGTAATTTTTAATGTTTTTAATATTTATTATTTTCACCCCAGGCCAATCTGCGATTTTAAAATCGCCATATTTCACCGAAAATTAATAAATATAATAAAGTACATTTTTTTATCAAAATATTATTATATTTTCCTACCAGTTACCATAATAAATATTGAATATTATTAATGGCTTAAATTTTATTTGTATATATTAAAAGATAATATTTAAGGACCCTCCCCCCAAAAAAAATTAAAAAACCGCCACTGAACATAATTATTAACTGCGAATACAATATATTCCAGCCATCTGTATTTTACATTATAAACTAAGGCTCAACTATATACATTCAAATTATCTGAGTATCTTACTTAATGATTTTTAAAATAACTTTTAACAACGAATTATAAAATACACTCGGAATATCATAGTTATTATTAATAAAATATTTTACTTTTAATGTGTATATTTGTTTGTATTTTTTAATTAAATGCAAATCATATAATTATTCTAATAAAACTTTTCGCTTATAAAATATAAAAATAAAAAAATAAACTAATAATTTATAAATTATAACAATTAAAAATTAATTTTTAAGCAGATCATATTTGTCATAAATATAATTTTTTGATAAAATTATGTAAATAGTAAAAAAATATCTTAAAATGTTTTATATATTAATCAATTTTCAATTAAGTAGGTATCAATATTTTTTTGCAAACTAAGAATTAAGAATGAAATGTTCATTTGAAACCATTTTGTTATGAATCATAAATAGTTTCAGTTACATGGCAATGAAAAATTATTATTAAAAGATACTTTAAATTTTATAGGAAGAATCTAAATAAATAAATATAGGCATTATAGTATATGGTCACTAATCAAATTGCCATAAATATTTATAGAAAATAAAAATAATTAATATTAATATAATATAATTAATATAATATTTCATTTTAATATATTTATTCAGATTTTAACACAATCCCTCGAAATAAAAAAATTCAGACTTCAATCCTTCTGATAATATCATCTTAGATTTAACCGATCAAATTAAGGTTATTTGTCAGACTTTGGGATGAACGTATTTACATATTTTATATAGTCTATATAAATAAGTAAATATATACATATAGAATATCACGATTATTCAAGGGTGAACTGTTTTAACACGTAGGCTTCGAAAATTTGTTTAAAATGCCTAGGTTTAGTTATTTAAGAGACCCAATTTTTTTAATTTCTATTACGCGTTTACCGATAGTTATTTAGGAATTTATAGAGTACCGATAACAACGTGATCTGCAGAGCTATTATTAATCAATATAAATATAACATTAAAGCATACGTCGAATAAAATTAATAATAGTGTACCTAGAAACTTCAAAATTCTTGATATTAATTGTATTAAAAGGAATCGTACTAGGTATGTAATAATATAGTTTATCTATAAAACTGCGGTTTATGCTGTATAGATCAATATTGTTACTATTATTATAAATATTTATTTTATCGGATTAAATTAAAAGCAGTGACCCAGATATAAAAAGGCTCAGTCGACGATCGCCACATTTCCACAGGAGTCAATCCACCCCTGTGACTATTATGAGAATACTATTTATGAGAAGAGAAAAATTTGTTCACTTTCGATTTTCAATTTTAATTTCGACATTATTTTATATTTCTTCTTGCAAAATGTCTTATTTATAACCATTCAAAATGCCACTTGTCTTGAAAACTATTACCATGATTTTAAAATTATATTTTTTAATAATCATATTGGATGAAAAAGTAAAACACTGTAGTTGATTTTTTTTTCTGCCCCCTAACATTTTATAATATTTTGTCTTATTGTCTTTAATGAATTGTTTAATGAATTGTCAAAATGATTATTTTGAAGTTAGTTAGATGTCATATAACGTTATATCAAGTACTTGATAACTAATTAAAAGATTAATTAATAATTTACCGAGTAATAGATATGTTAATTACATTAAATAAGTTGGCTGATGATAATTTTAGTTAGACATTTAATAGCACTATGCGGTGAATAGGGACAAATACAAATAATAGAATATTCAATTTTTGTTAGTTTTATATTTACCAATATACTGTATACCTAATCACAATCGTGTTTAATTTTTTAATTTGCGGGTAACATGATATCTTAAACTTTTTATAACTATTTTAAATATTAAATGATTGAGAACATTAACCACATGTTATCAAGAAAATTAAAAATTATAAAAAAAATTATATACTTTGAATATTTAGTACGAAATGTTTGATGTTATATTGATAAATATTTTCGATTTATAAATATGCATTGAAATAATTCATGATCATAATAAATTTCCATTCTTTGACCTAATAGACATTATTATTATTATTTTTTTTTCATTTTTTTCATCTGGTATAATGTGCTACTAAATTGCCTATATAACGCGCCGTCTAATGCATATTATAGTAAAAATACTAAAATTGAATAATCGTGTACAACATTTTTGATAGAACTTTATGTTTTTAAAAAATAGAAAATCGAAAATCAATAATTGTTTTTTAAAATTGAATTTTATTTAGTTTTAATTTATTTCTATTAGGGAATTAAACTTATAACATTGAAAAATTGGTCTGAATCTACCAAATATAATTTATCGATATTAAATTAATTGTTTAATATGTACATTTATTGATTGAAATTAAATATTATTCATTTAAAAAATCTATGAAATAATAAAAAAATTATATTTTATATAATCATTAAATCAAACCTAATCTTAAATGTTTTCTATATTTTAATAATTAAATTTGTTTTAACGACATTTGTATTATTGAACTTTTGATTTTAAACATTTGATATCATAAATTAAAAAATCTTTTAATTACTAAATATTTTCATTTAATCTGTTTAATGCAGTTTATTACCATTGATTAAATATACAATATATATTGTGATGATGTATATTTAATCAATGCTATTACCTAATTTGTTCATTAAAATAATAACATATACTGTAAAATGATAGTTGCATTATTGTTATGATTGAATACTCATTTCCATTCTTCGTAAGATTATAGTGATATTTTATTATTTTTAAAATGCTAGTAATATATCATTAATCTGAAAGCATTTGTGTAGTTCAAACAATTAAAAAGTGAAGTATATTATCTTTCAAAAATGGTCAAGATTTATCTTAAAAATGTTTATTTTATTTTTAAAAATATTTGTGAGCCCTTTTTGTAATTTTGACATGTCCTAAGTAAAATCTTTGTTTGTATAGTATCCAATCAATTGGGCTTACATGAAATGTTTGTTGCTTTTTTACTGCTACGGAAAAATAAAAAAAAATCTGTTGTTGTAAAAATAATAGCTCCCTTGGTCCGTTCAAGATTGTAAAAATAAATATAAAATGCGAAAACAACAATCCTATACGACTTTATTTAAACTGCATATATAAAGGTTTCTTGTTTTCACTTTTTGCAATGGATATTTTTCCAAGTATTCGTTTTCAAATTTAACGCTTTTTGTTTGTTTGTATTTTTGAACTATATGACTTCTTCTTATACTCATTTTTAAAGTTTATGGTTTTTCTATTCCATTGGATTTTTCGTATTATCCTTATAATAATATAGTTCAAAATATTTAGAAATAATAATTTTGATATTTTTTCAAATTTATTGAGAATAATATGTCTAAAATACAAAATCCAAAAATTCTGTCAGGAAATATGGTAATAATATTATTAGTAAGTTATTTAATATATTTCAAAAATTTCTATCAGCGTTTTTCAATCGTAAAAATGTATATTTAACTTTACCCGTGTATCCAAACTCTTAAAACATACTTAAAATAATTAGATATTTAAAAATTATTTTAAATTTTAATTTAATTACTCCCCCTTTCCTAATGTCCATTACCAAATGAATTATAAATTTCTGCTGTTTAGATTTTTCAAATCTTCTTTTAACATTAACGGTTTTCCGACTATATTGTTTTATCACGTAATAACTTGCTTTGTCTGTAACGAAATTATTTCGTGGTATAACCATATAAACCTAAAACTACAATATTTCCTATACCATATGTATACATCACGCACAAAAGTGCTCACGTCTTATCCAGTATTTACATGTCCATATTCGTCTAATGGTTTCACCGTTTCTATTACAATGAACAACGGGAACACCGATCTTCGGAGAGCACATCCGCGTTTTCTGACAAAAAATCCTCCTGCTCCACCATCATTCATCTTTTTAACTTTTGCTCAACCAAGTTGACTCAGTATTTCCGCTGTACTATTGTTTCGCTGTACCGATTTCCCGTCAAACTTACTCGAACACTTCACCCCCCGCCATTATATACTTCCGCACAACAGTAGCATATTCTTGTGTGTCTTTTGTTCCGACGCCGCTCGACCGACTAGCGCCCATCATTATCTTTAGGTATTTCCGTGTAATTTTCAAACGCATTAAGTTACTATTGCCTATAGAAGTAAGCTTAAATAAACGTCAGAAAGCCGATAAAGATTGCTGTTTTCAACAAAAAGTGGAACCGAGATCATCAAACAAAATAACTTTGCTTTATGCGTAATTTGTAAGGAAAAGGTTACTGTTTTGAAAGAATATAATATTGCTTAGTGGTGGGCATATCTGGATTTCAAAAATCCGAATTATTCGGATTTGTCAAATCCGGATTTAGTAAATCCGGATTTCACGGATTATCCGGAATATCCGGATTATTCAACTCGATTTTGCTGTTCAATGACTCATTTTTATATACTTACATTTTAATTCTATAATATAATTTTCATTATAATAAAATAATTTATTTTACCATACATTAAAAATATTTGTATGTCTGAAGTCATATAAAAAGCAAATCTATAAATCCGGATAATTCGGATAGTTCGGGAAATCCGGATAAGAATTTGATTCAAATCCGGATTTGGATATCCGGATATTCGGGTAATTCAGATATTCGGACTTCATGCCCATCCTTAATATTGTTAGACATTCTGAAACTGAACATTCGTTAATATATAGCGGATTGTCTGTTTCGCTACGATCTAATAAATTTGAAATAAATAAAATTTACTAGCTAAACAACTATTATAAAACGGTCATATATAAATTAATTTTTTATAAAAGTAAATTTATAAGTAGCTTATATACTGATAATAGCTAGAAAACCCTTTACCGATTGTGAAATTTTAATGGAGTGCATTTTCAAAACAGTTGAAGAAATTCGTTTAAATAAAGTGTATTTATTCACCACTATTACTTTGTTGGCGAATAAAATTGTGTAATGTATCACAGATCTTGGAAATGATAATTATCATTACGTTAACGTTAGTTAATTTAAAATCATCGCTCAAATGTATAAATGTTTTTCAATTTCCTTGAATAAATTTATAGACTTTTCGGACTTTTTGTGTAAGCGTAGATGCTTTTATCCATCCACGGAGTTAATGAAGTTAGTAAATTTATCCATTTGGTTATTATCCATTTGGATGATTTCGTCAGGACACGTATTCATCGCATAGTTGGACAATTTCGGCAAGTGTTCCTCATTGAACGTGATCAGGTCGTACTCATCAATAATTTTATCGGTCGAAGTTGGTCGAAGAACTTGGAGATTAGTCCCACGCAACACGTTCGAGCGGCCATCACTCATCGTCGGAACGCTGCCAGGAGCAAAGGTTTGCAGTCCTATTGGTCTTGCAGCTCCTCTGTGCAGTCACTTTCCAACAATGTTCTCTGACGCAGACCGGTTAGATCGTATCCTGTAACGTAATGCGCGACGTGTGATCGTTAACTCGGAAAAAGTCGACTCGCCAAGCCGTCGTTGGATGTACCAAGCATCGATTTCATATATTTTAGTGATTTAGGCCATATTGTGTTTATCTACCGAGCGAGCGAATCGTCCGAATCATATACTTTTAAGGTACTCGGCGGTCGCACGATCTCGATGGTGGTGTAGCGCTGCACCTTCGCTCACAGTCTGTCGCTAGGTTGACGGCAAGTTATCGTCAAATTCTGCCGCGAATACATCGGTCTACTATGCACGGTCGTAAAAACGAACGGTTAATATCTTACGAAGAAAGGCGTACGCGTGATGGTGATAAATCTTTGTAGGTATTTGAAGCGTTTGTAAATTCAATATCAGTTCGGTCCCTGTAAATTCTGCAACAGTTGTTGTCTAGATCAGGGGTCGGCAACTAGCGGATCGCGGTTCGGATTCGGACCGTGGAACACAATACTTTGGAACGGTCAACTTTTATTTTTATATTCCTAATATTGCAATTTTTAATGTAAATTAGTTGTAATAACCAAATGATTATTTTTGTTTTCATACCGCTATTTTTAAAATATAAAGATTTAAAAATGATTGTTTTCACTAGACCTCATTGATTTATTATTTTAATCTTTAGGACTCCGATATAAATTACTTGCCGACCCCTGGTCTAGATGTATGCATCTCCGGTGATTGTAGTTCTTACAACCCATCGGCGTCCAAAACGTTTGGCTGCATTCTGAGAACTTGTGAAACCATTTTTAGAAAGGCTTGTGCAAGAAAGGGTGCGTCAGTATATTTTCCATCTCGTGTTTGTTTGTTGGTGTCATTTTGAATAATGTCTTTACGTATATAACTACGAAAATTATAATGGTTGATGCTATACACCGAAAGAAGAGCTGTCGAGGAAAAACAGTATTCCGTTTCTCAATGGTATATTTTTCAGAGTCAGTGTTTCATGCTCAAATTGGCGTTGTGTGTACTTCGTAGTAATATTCCATTTAAAATAAAATTTGTAAGCGTCGAAGACCTTATTTTTTTAAAATCTTATGGGTATGAACGATCACCGATTGCGGTTCGCTTTAATGTTATTGTAATATATAATATAATATAGTAAATAGTGTATTATAAATGTAAACTCATATAATATAAATAAATGAAAACGAGTATAGTTAATCGTTGTTTTTAACAATGAATTATATATTTACCTAATTTAAAAATGTTACCGAAAACTTGGATTTAATAAAAAAAAAAAAAAATACATCGAGACGAGTTGAAAGTAGGAAAACTTAGGGCTTAAAAAAACGCGACGACCCGAAAATGGTTCGCAAGCGACACTGCTCGAAAGCAGCGGACACGGCTGCGGCGACGGTTTCCCCCGTTTGAAACCCGAAACGAACGTGTTCGTTAAAAACGGTATTACCGTACCGGCCGGGGCGTGCGGGCGACAACGCCAAACGAACGCCGTGCGCGCGGCAAGGGCGGCCAGGGTAGGGTGATGTCCGAGGAGGAGGATGCGTGTCGTCGTCGGTCCGTTCGCGGGCGGTACACGTGTTTTGCGCCGGCCGCTTCACGCGCGTTTACGCAAATCGAAATATCATAACACGCAAAACACGCGGCTCGGTTTGGCGCGTTACCGCCGCGCGTAGCGGGTGTACAGGACCGGAGCGGACGCTGCGCCGGGCGCGCGCATGAGTCGATAAAAAGCGTTTTGCCGCCCAAAAGCAGAGCGATCGAGATTGGGGCGCGGGGGGGATGGTGGTCGGGGGCGTGGGGTAGGGGAATAAATAGCTTACGCCGCGGCCGCCGCACGGACACGCACGTACGCTTGCTGCGGGGAAACGCGCACACGATCGAAAACAATACGTACACACGCGCGCGAGGCGGCGGCGGCGGCAGTTACGCGATTGTACGCGGCGACCCTCGGTCTGTGCGACCCAGTGTGTCATGTCTGGCCGCACGGTGCACGCCGAGTCGACCGTTGTCGCTAACACGTCCGACTTGAAATGCTCCGAAACCTACCAACACATGGTCAGTATATGGTGTACGACGAAAACGAAAAAAAACCGAAATACGTGAAAAACGTCCCCGTCGCGTATTTCGCCGAACGTTTTCGATCGGTTGAAACGATTTGTTTTTATTTTATTTTTTTTTTTTTTTACGAATATATATATACATATATTTTTTTTTTTCGCAACATATTAGATAAAAAAAATTTAATTAAAACCGCGCTCGACGTTAAGATAAGGAGCGGTACCCGTATACGTTAATCGGTTAAACGAAACTCAACCGTGTACGTTATTTAATGTTGTGCTCGTGCGTGGTTCCTTCAGGTAACTTTTACGTAGGTTATATTAGGTAACAACGTAATGTAGTGTTGTTGTTTTGTAGTGGGTTCACGTGACACGGCGCGGTCCGTTCACGACGAAATGACGTGAGGCGAACACTTTTTTTTTTCCGTTTGTTCGAAATAACTTGTAGGTGTGACGTACGTAGACGTGTGCACCGGTAACAATGTTCAAATGTTGTTAGATCGCCAAGAGAGAAATTAAAAAATAAGATCACGAAAATTCTTTCGTCTCGTTTCTGCAGCGTGTCGCGGAGACATTCGAGAATGACGTATACTGCGCCGGATCGTTATACTTCCGTTCGCACCTTAAATATATTTTGGACCCGTTCTGGAGTTATAACTTAATCATCGTATAGTCTGCAATTATTCACGCGGAGTACGATTATCGTTCATCCTTAGTGGCGAGCTCGTCACATCTGACGCAAGAACAACACCCGCACAACCATAATATAATATTATATTCTTATTTAAACAGTAAATAAGTTTTCGATTAAATTCCGTTAGACCACCCAAATTACGCTATCTTAATCCGCTTGCTTCCGCTCCAGTCCCATACACGTTATAATTACTCGATGTAATATTATTAGAATTTTTTAACATTGTTGGATCTATTTCACCCTTCTCATCATCACGAAACACGCGTTACTAAAACAATGAAGCCGCGCACGGCCAGTGCTGGATCCGAATGGGAGAATAACGGACAATAGTCACTTGGACCCTTGTCCAACTGACAGGCCGGATCCCGAACATTAGAACAATTTATAGAATTGTGTAGAATGAAAAAATAGTTGTAATATTTCATATAATTATTTATAATTAACGTCGCATTTGAATAATAATACACTGATAACTTTTAAAAACAAAAACTGTTGCAATCACATACATTTCAGGACTGTTTCTTACTAAATATAAATATTTACGATAGAAAAAATAGGAGATGGTAAGATGTGCCTCCAAAAGGATAACATTTTAGTGAAGACCTTCACAATATTGTACATTGTAGTTTAAAGTTATATTAAACTCACAAATCGACATTCCTCTCCGGGGTCGGCGTTAGTAAATATTAATGGGGTTAATGCATCCTCCTAACGATAGCCTTGTTCCTCCCTTGTGCGCGTATTGAACTCGTTTCTGCCGCATAAAATATAACAATTATTATCTATTTTTAGATTGATATTTGCCACAAAAAAAAATGTAAGATTATGATATTAAATACTAATATTTTTTTTATTATGAAATCGTTCGTGCAACATGACTATATTCATTATAAAAATACAAGGTTAACATTTTATTAATACCATTGATAGATTTTAAACAGTTAATTATTAGACTACATTTTCGATTTTTCTATTCTTTAAAACAATATTATGAAATTATCATTGAGTATTTTAATTATTGAGTCTTTTTCATCATTACGATTCTAACAATAAGACCTTTTAAGTGCGAATAGATTGTTGAAATTTCTCAATTTGTTAATCAACTTTGATCAATATTTCTTATCACTGCTGCGATACTAAACATTTTATACTCATTTTTAATTTATTGATGGTAAAAAAACGAATATATCTGGATGATTAATAAGAATAATATTAGATTATTTAATTAATAATCTTTATGATTTTGTAAAATATTTCTGGCTGATAAATATGCATAGGTATACTTTTTTTTTTGAGAGATTTTGAAATATAGATGCTTTTTGGTGGAGAGAAACCGAAATCCAGGATTTGTAAATAATTTTTTAAATTTTTTAGTACATTTTTTTGAAATAGCTAGAAACTTTGTTACAAATCAAATGGTTAAAAAAAATTCATTAACTTCAAAAAGTTGAACTCATTATACTATTGCCACCTTGGCCATTTCCTTAGATCCTTCACTGAGCGGCGCAAACAAAAAGTTTTGTTCATTATATATAAGATTTGTTTAATCAAAAGTTTGAATACTGTGATTTTGAAAAATAATCAAAGTTTTAACGTGAATATAATTTTAAAATACCATTTTGATGTTTTTTTATATACATTTTTATTCGTAGTTTTAATTCTAGAAATATTTAATTTTCACATATTTTAGTTTGTAACATTGTTTGCATGTAAAATAAGGTAATTATTCTGTATATTTGATAGATGTTTTGAAATTAGTTTAGAGAAAAATTATTCAGATAATTATGAAAACCCAAGAAAATCCTCTCATAAAAATAACATACATTTTAAGGCGAGTATACATTGTATTTATCATATATTTTTTATTTCTCAAAGATCGATTATCACCGCAGGGGATATATGTACATATTTTTCATATGAACTATGTTTGAATTATTCTTGAAAAGATAAAATTTTATGCTATTATAACTTTAACAAACAATTGTATTTGCACTTTTCAGTAGAATAAGATATGATCGAATCTTATCCAATCTTATTATATAGCTACGTCCCTTTTGTAACATAAATAGACCATTGGCGTTGTATCAACTGCAATTATTACTAACACGTTACGCGATACTGTATGACTTTTTTTAATATTTTAACATTATCGTAATATTAATAAGTATTTGGCTAGCTGGCGGTGGCTAGCCCAGGTTAGATTAGGTATTATACTACATATAGGTACGGAGTGCAATGTACTCCAAGTGCCATTTTACAATAAACTGATGATACTCGTACCCGGGTACTATTTGCTATTTATACTAATGGAAGTAGGAAGGAAGTGTGCGAACATTTATTGTTACATTTCTCTGTTTAATTTGCATTTGCCCGTGTGCATTTGATTTGATTGACAACACGACCAACCAAAGAAAAATGTTTGTCGGTATAGAGGACTTTTTTCGTCGCTTTATCATTTGCCATTGCCAGTATGTGTGTGTGAATGTGTGAGTGTATTTATTTATATTTTTGTAATATACATAATAGTACGTGGCATTATTTGTTTCTCTTGGTAGAAATATACGAATACAACGTTACGTCGGTTAATATTCTAAAATAAACAAAAGAAAAAACGGTCGACTACTGGTTAACGTCCACAAAAAAATAACATTTGAAGTTTACATTCGTGGTGTTTTACGTATTATAGGGTACAACAACAACAACAACACAAACGATGATGACAGCGGCGGCGGAGATGACGAAACTGTTGGCAACGGAAAAAACATGCTGGCGCGGAAGCTATCAACTAAGGGTGACACTCTTTACCTCGAGAGACGGGTGGGTCTCTTCAGTGGGGTGGCTCTAATCGTAGGCACAATGATTGGTAAGCAGAATTGCATATGTGTTTATTAATGTGTAGAGTTAGCGATTAAATTTAGTTATTTAGATTTTAGGCAAACGTTTATTTAGCAATCGAAAAAAAAAAATGTAACATAAGTGTTAATACATAAATATTTATACATTAAGTGAATTAAATATAAATGATAAAAACAAATGTTTGGAAAGTAAAACTGAAAATTTAAAAACTAAATTGCTTATCCCAAAAACCGGTGGTATGTACGATCAACTTTTATTTATAGATGTACAGGTAAAAAGAAAATGATAACCGTGATGTTGCGATATTGGTAGGTAAGTCTATATGAATACAAAGACGTCTGTAAAATGATTTAAAAGTTATTTCGAATTGATCCGAAAACAAATAAAACAAATCGTAATCTCTACGCACATAAAAAGACCGTAAAAAAAAATAATAAAATTTTTCCCTCGACTAATGAAAAACATTCAAGTGAACATTGACTTAAAATCTAAAACATTTTAAACGTTTCTGGTTTATTATTTTACTTCAAAAAAGAGAACACACGAAATGTCGTTCAATTTCCGTAAGTAAAACTACTATAAATATGAAAATTTAAAGTTTACCGTGCATAAACGTTTTAAAAGACACTTTAATTCCACATTTACTTCTCGAAGATGAAATTTATTAGAATCATCAAAATAGTTCTATTTTCATGATTTTTTGTCCTAGGCATCTTAGTAATATATATATGTACGTCTTATACTTCTTACATGTATATTTGGGTTAACTATGTAAAAACAAAATAAATAGTCAATGACGTCAAAGAAATTTGTGACATAATGATATTAAGTTTTTAACTGACTTATTATATACATTTACTGTCACCAGAAATTTATAATTAGCCATTACATATTTGAAATGTTTAATAATAGTTTTTAAGGATGAACAGTACCAATTATTATAATTTGTATTTACATACCATTATAAGAAATATGTTCTATGTATAGATACTTTTAAACAACTTTACTTGTTAAATTGTTCAATCATTTTTTTTCTCCTTTTTACGAGCTACAACATATTGAAGTGACGTTAAATTAATTTGATATTATCATAATAGAGTTTCTTGTACAGATTATAATGTAAGAGCAAAGTGTGAGTTCAATTTGATTACATTATAATAATAATAATAGTAGTATTTCACCATCTGATAATTACTTTTGAATTTGAAATTGAAATTATACGTGGTTTTATGATATGACATGTTATTAAAACTTTTCACCACCTACCTAGTTTGAGTTGTCGATAAATCGATGTATATTATTTATCACTAATTATTCATCGGTTTCGTACATAAAATGGTAATGTATGCATTCCTTGAAGTTACATTTTTTGAACGCAATAACATTAAAAATAGCAATAGATAAAATTTTATCAGCAAACATAGAAATTTCTGTTAACTCATTTTCCGTTTACCCCTTTTCCAGTAATCTTTCGTACAAATTAATTAGATTATCATCGTTCATAAGACATTTCAAACTCGAATCCGGGAAATATTCTTATCGATTAAAAAATTAAGACACAACGGAAAATGCCAACACAGGCCGGAGGCCTCAATTAACCGAATTAAATTTGTTTAATCTGATTTTAATTAGCCTTGAATATGATGGTATAACTGATTAGACATTTGTATGAACAATTTTCTTGGTACAAAATATTTAAAAAAAAAAAAATAAATAATAATTAAAATTATTTTTTTATTGCTAAGAGGTTTTTAATTTTATCAAAAACAATTCCCACGGATTCATGCATGTACAATTTCAAAAAATAAAATGAAAAAACACTTAATACAGAAAAAAAAGTGTAAAAAAAATATGTTTATTGCTGGAAAAAAACCATTATCAATTAAAATTATCTAATTATCAAATTAAAGGCAATTTTCGTTTTATATAGGTTCTGGAATATTTGTTTCTCCGACGGGACTGCTGATCAGGACTGGGTCAATAGGCCTGAGTTTTGTTATATGGGCATTATGTGGTGCCATGTCACTATTGGGTACGTTCCTATTTAAATTAAGTTTTTAGACTGTATAAAAAAAAGTAAAAAAATAACTGTCAAATATTATCTATTTTTAAAACGAAACTATTCTACATATATTTTACCTGAGCACGTTTATCATTCGTCAAATTATTTTACGAACACTATTTTCGACAATCATAATTGCACTAACAATAATTGTGTTGCGTGCCGTCGTTCAATCGTAACGATGGTTTTTTAGGAAAATACTCCAAATAAAAATACTCAAATATAATTTAACTGTTTATTTAAGAATTTTTCTAAATACAAAAACATTAATTAAGAAATGATCTGGCGTGAAGGTGCTTGCGTCTATACATGTAAACCACATCTGAATATTGGTCTGTTCCCAACCCCCTTATATACTTAGGTCTTGTGGGAATTGGCCGCGCATTTCTATATAATACATTATTTCCAATTATTGTTACTACCCTGAGGTGTTAAATTGTAATTTAATTGGTTGACCTCGGTAATATTACTATTCGAACATTTCTCATATTTTGTTATGCGCTTTTATTAATTGCATTTATTATAATACTTTGAATTGTAGCCTGACAGCTCATATTCGTGTTACCCTCGGGTCTTAATCATTCCTTTCTTTTCATACAAATACGAATATTATATTAATAATAATCATTTCCCGATTTCTATTATTTTTGATCTACGTGGTCCCATCCATGTCTTATGAGTCGTAAGGACCTACATTTATGTATGTCCGTAACAATTGAAACGGAAGCACGTTCGATGCCAGAAAATAAAGCCGTCTAAAGAAAAATGAGTTCATAAAATATTAAATAATATTTTTATATTTGTTTTTTATTCAAACTTCTTATTTCCATAGGAGCCTTAGCGTATGCCGAACTAGGCACGATGAATCCCAGTTCCGGGGCCGAGTACGCGTATTTGATGGATGCATTTGGACCAATGCCTGCATTTCTATTTTCTTGGATATCCACATTGATACTTAAACCATCACAGGTGGCTATAATATGTCTGAGTTTCGCCAAATACGCAGTCGAAGCATGTGTTGATGAATGTGGTTCCTCAGATTTTGCAGTGAAGATCGTCGCTATTCTGTCTATTTGTGAGTTTAAGCCAAATGTTACTGATCCTCGTTTTTATTTATTACATTATTACTGTACTTTAAATTTTTCTTCAAAACAATTTTTTCCGCAAGCTCGTTATGTTTATTTCAACATAAATTACCTACGGTCGATTACATGAAAAATTATAATATTATTTACTAATTTAACTTAAATACCTTATACTCATTTAGTGTTTTAGGTTGTGGCAAAAAATGAATATTAGTTATAATTATCAAGTTTATTATGCTGTAATACTTAATTATTAACTGAATAATTTTTTCTTACGGGTCGTTAAATAATATTTTATATTTTAATGTCTCATTATTCATAACTATACATATAGTAAATATATAGTTTCCCGCCGACAATAATGTATAATTTATGCGTATCATAATATAATATCACGTATATATCTTAAATATCCTACTCAGTGATTATGTAAACGTTAAATAAGTAATGCACTTACGATAATTGATACGATTAAATGTGTGCGTTGTGGGTGATTAAGCATCTTTAGTAAACATCTCTAATTTTGTATAAAGCATTTGAAAACCTTATTCTTGACGTAATCATTTCTCTCGGCTTCTACTTAATTAGCCACTGAACCGTTTCCAAGTCATTGCGGTTTCACAAGACGATTTTATCATGAACGATTGAGACGTTTTTTTTTCTCTCATATATTCAGTGGTCATCACGTACATAAACTGCTACAGCGTGAATTTGGCCACTGGCGTGCAAAATGCATTTACGGCGGCAAAACTTGTCGCTGTTTTCGTCGTGGTCGCCGGAGGCGTGTACAAAATCTTCCAGGGACGTACGGAAAACTTTCGGGACTATTTCGACAACACAACTTCCAGTATGGGTGATGTGGCCACCGCTTTTTACTCGGGGCTGTGGGCGTACGACGGTTGGAACAATCTCAATTACGTCACTGAGGAAATAAAAAATCCTTCGAAGTAATGTGTTTTTATTATATTGTCTCTAATAATATTTTGGGTCGAGAATAAAATAGATCACGTTAAGTTACGTTCACGTCGAATAATTCCAATCAGATCCGTCAGATTTTTAATATTGTATGCGTGTAAATAAAATGTTTAAGGAACATTCCAAAAGCGATTTATATCAGCATACCATTGGTGACGATTTGTTATATATTGGTGAATGTGGCGTACCTCACAATCATGTCACCGGACGAAATAGTGCGAAATGAAGCTGTAGCCGTGGTCTGTATAATGTACATTAATATTTAACATTAACATAATATACATAATATTATAGTACATGATATCTAATGGAAGTTATCAACCCATCGACAATTAAGGGAACATAAAATAAAAATTGATTATTCCGTTATAAAATTATAAATCTGATGATTTTGGTTTTTTTTTTTTAAGCAATTTCATAATATTCTATCTATATACACTCAAATATTATCATATAAATCACATTTCTATCGGCTTTTATAGTCTTAAATCAGACAATTGCCATAAACTTGATTCTTTCAATGCAGCTCACTCGTGAGCAAAATTTTGGCGATTCTTGTTATATATAGTGCACGTTAATCTGTTTGGGAAATAAGTCGATTTTCAATAGTAACAGTTGCATATTAAAATGTTGCTACAAATACAAAATTGACTAATCCCTCCATCCTTGCTTTTACTCCCGGATACCTTTCGGGTATTTCACTTGCGAGAACCATTTCTTTTTGTAATGCCTATTCCGAACCGGTATGCTGTATTTTATTTATAGACATTCGGTATCCGAGCGCTTGGGCCCATTGCCTGGGTGATACCGTTGTCGATCACGGTGTCCACGTTGGGATCGGCCAATGGCACCTTGTTCGCCGCTGGAAGATTGTGTTTTGCTGCCAGCAGGGAAGGCCATTTGATGAACGTTTTGTCATACATTCACATTAAAAAGCTCACGCCCATGCCAAGCATCATATTTCACGTGAGTGACCGAAGTTTTTTACAGTCAGTTTGCGCACTACCATGGGGGCCGTTGATTACCAATATTATATCCAATATCGTTTTTTAATAAACATATTATCGTACTCGTAAATCATCATGATTTGCGTATTACGGTCGAAAAATTGGGTATATTGAAAATAACAATTTTTTTTAAAGAAAATTCGTTTTGATTTAACGCATTATTTACAAACAAAAGAAACGCGTGAATAAATGTATTACAAATGAAATGACAGGAGCACGCCAAATATAGAAGTTTCAAAAATAAGTTTTTTTGATTATAGAATGCATTTTTTTTGCTTGAAATTACATTTATAAAAAAATCAAAATATTTTTTATCTCAAATACTTTTCTTAACTCTCACTTCACTCGTATTATTCTTTACATCATTAGTTATAAAAATTATGTTTTTTCTAATATAATCATCTGTAAATAATATAATATTTTGTTCTCAATATATATATATATATCTGTATTTCTGTATTGTTTTCGATAAAAGCAAATAAAAAAATAAAAATCCAAGTAATATAAATATTAATATAACACTATCAACACAACAATATTAAAAGTATAAACGAGACATATATGATTATAAGCCATAGGGGTAAGTTTATACATAAAATTATTTGACGAATGGTAGTTAGTTAAAAAAAATGGTAGAAGTGCCACGTTTCTATTTGTATTTTTTAGTGGGTTATGCGTAGTAGAAAACATGCATGATGTATTTTGATCCGGGCATCGTAAGATTTAAAATAATTTGAATAATTTAAAATAATTAAAACTTAGAGCTGTGTGTTGGACTAAATCTTGTTGCATTGTAGTCTTCAGCACAAAAATACATCATAAAAAAATGTATAAAAATAAAATTTTACGGTAGTTAATCATTTTGTAAAGCGAAAACATTTTACACGTACACAATTGGTCAGGCTTCTGATGTCCGGCGCGATGACGTCACATGCATTTTTTTAATCCCTTAATAGCTTTTAAAATACTTTATATATTTTTTTTTTTACTTAGGATTTCCACTAAATTGTTTTTAATAGTTCAACCTACAAGCATTAAATATAAAATACGTTGTTCTTCCTAAGTACCTTCGTCCATTTTTTACACTTCAAAGTTGTTGGAAAATAGAGCGTTTTTCAAGTTATACGAAGAAATAAATATTACATTTTGGCGCTTATAATGACTCGTGCTACGTAATCTATTCAACCACGCGAAAAGTATCGCACTACACATTATATTATTATTATTATTATTATTATTATATTTTTATTATTATTATATTATTGTACATAATAAGCACGTAATTTAAGTCATATTACGTGTATTTTGATACTCGATTCAAAGCTATACACTGTTTGATTATTATTGCAGTCGATAATAACCATAATGATGGTGGCATCGGGCACGATCAACTCCCTTATCGACTTCTTCAGTTTTACAGCATGGATATTCTACGGAAGCGCTATGTTAGCGTTGCTAGTGATGCGGTACACGAAGCCCGACGTACCGAGACCGTATAAAGTGAGTACAAAATCAAAATGTGGACTTCATCGTGTATTACAATATGTATATCGCATTTAATAATCGTATGCAAGTGCAACGCATGAACGTTGAATATAGACGTAAACACGAAGGCATTTGTTCAAGACGCGTAATAAGATGATACGGTACTTCGACGAATCGGACGACTTGACAATTAATTTTTACTTTTTTACCAGCAATTTTTTTCTATCGCATTTAACACTGTTACCGATAAAAAATATTTTTTGAATTGTACATTAAGTACTATATTATACATCTAAAAATGATTGTAAGTGCGGATACGCCACGCATTACGAGTAATCATCCTTTTCTTGTTGAATTGTACTCGTAATATATGTTTATTATTTATAAATATATTTTTAAAATGGAAATATATTTGAATGCCCAAAAATCGTTCAAAGTTTATATTGACGTTTATGTTCTATTTGAAAAAAACATGTGACGTTCGCGTATCGCTCGCAAAATATTGTTCACGAATGGTTTCCTTTCCATACAGACATGCATACCAAAAGATCATCCATGGGGCTTTTTGGTCGACACCTGATAATACGAATAGAAGAATTCAAGCGTTATAATAGGTTTCATCTGACTTTATCAAGTTCATTATTTTTGTTTCTCAATCCTAATATTATTCAATTAACTTGTATTTTTTTTTTGACGTTCTTTTGAGCAAATAAACTAAAAATATGTAGACACAAATTACTGTGTCACTAACTGCCACGGCTAAGTTATTATTATCATTAATAACCTTAGCTAGTCATTTCTATGACTACATTAAAATATTAACATATCTAATGTATAATAAAATACAAGGAGATTTATGTTTAATGGCATGGAGATCAACCGTAATTACACATTAATATATTTAATAATAGTTAATATCTATAATTTTATAATGATTATTTTTACAATAAATTATGTACCATAAACAAATAAAAACATAATGTAAAATACTGATCAAAATATTATTCAAACATAACCAATTAAATAAAATAGTGAGATTAATACTAATATTAACTAAATTGGTTAATAAATTATAGAACAAATTAATGTACTAAGTAAACATTAGTAATATTAATATAATAGGAACAATGAACATTTTTCTTGAGGATAATTGTTAGGAAGTTAAAATTATTTGTACACAATTTTTTTAATTTTTTTTATGGGACGTATGGATAAATTTTCTTTGATAAAAACTTTCCATTAATAGAAATTTCACTGAATATTTTTGTAAATCGGTGAAAGTATTATTCAAAATAAATCAAATCCAACCCAACTACCCAGCTTCACTCACAAATAGCTTTATTAGGTCAGTTAAGTGCGATATGTTTTCATTCATTAAAAATTAAACAATTTCGAAATTAATATTTAATCATAAAACAATATAAATAAAAATTCATGTGACACACAATGTGTTATAATCACGTTTATCAGATTAAATATGTTTTCAATGATTATGAAATTAATTTAACGGCACCATATATGTTGAAAGAAGACTTCGTGTTGAACAATTGTTGACGTGAAAATATATGTAAAACATAACATGTAAAACTAACGGTCGTACGATTTTATAGGTACCCATAATCATTCCGTTAACCATATTTGTTATTTCAATCTATTTGGTGATAGCGCCAATATTAGATAAACCTCAAATCGAATATTTGTACTCGATGATATTTATGATCGCCGGAATAGTGTTTTACGTACCGTTCGTTCGTCTGGGATACAAATTCCCTATAATCGGTGAGTGTAGCATTAAATAATAAAACGGGTGTGTTAATACTAAAATCCAATATACCAATGTCCAAATACGGCTCAATTTAGTTTTATTTCTGTGTATAAACGAAAAATTAATTAATTACATTTTTTATTTCTCCATAGATCGTTGGACCGTTTTTATACAGTTGCTATTACAGGTAGCGCCCACTAAATTAGTGTTACCAAATTAAAACAGAATAAGCCATCAAGTCTTCCATTAATTGCATATCCAATTACCAATATAGACAATATAGTGAATACAGAATTTATTTTCTAGTGCTATATTCATACTTGGACATTTTGTTGACAGTAATACCATTAATTTTATTGTTTAGTTAATAATATTAGTTTAACGTGTTGTGAGTATAAAGTACATATATTTGTTATATATCACACAACATATGCATTGTACACCAAAAAAATATAAAAAATAATTTGTAATATATTTAATACTGAATTGTTTTATGAGATTATATATAAAATATATTATATGTATCATAGTAACAGTTATTTTCATCGTCAAACATTTATTAACAAGTACTAATTGCTACTTAATGTTATTTGTTGGTTTCAATATTTTCGATGTGTGTCTGTTAATGAAAATATACTTTTATGTTTATGAATGATTTTTGTTTTTAATTGTAATCAAATGTAGTACACTGGATTAGAAAATAATTGCTATTTATTTAAGATCCTACAAAGAAAACCTTATTCCAAACCAGAAATTTACGAATCAATGATCTGAAAATAAACTCTTATTTATATATAATTACATTAAATCTACAAAAAATATATATAATTTGTGATTGTGTATTTTCGTACTAACTTGTACATAATATCAAGTAACGCAAGGCTTTGAAATGTTTGTATTATAACGAAAATGAGATACAGAATAGTATTTGAAACAGGTTTTGTTGTAACAATATTTAAGTTCATGTTTAAACGTGAATTTTTTACAGTTTTTCAGTACCATTTTTAAAAAAGTTTTAAAAAAATATAATCCTATGAAAAATTCGATTGGAGACGTAAGTTCAATTAAAAATCAACTTCGATGTTTAATTATCTATATATTAATTATTTTACAATGGTTTAAAGTTCTCATAGATTTGACATTGTTGATGATTATTTATTTAAAAAATATCTTATATTTTTTTTCTCGTAAAAATAAAAATCTCTGTGTACCTATATAATATATATAATATTTCAATTTTTATAATAATAAATTATTAATTATATATATATATATATATAGATAGATAAATAAACATTAGTTTTGACAACATTCATTTATAAAATGTATATACAATTTCATAAATTAGTTTGTGGAGTATACACCTCAAGACACGCGTAAAGTTTATCTGAAGATACAATCATCATTTTCAGACGAGCTTTTAAAATTCGAAAAACGTTTTGTATTCTGAATGCCAACTATGTTTGAAATTCTAAATGAAATTATTAAACATTGAGCTGCTGCAACATATACAAATATAATCGAATTAAATCAACTCAAATATTAGTACTCGAAATGAAATTCTTTGAATAAAATAAAAAATAGTAGTCTTGTTATAACATGAATAATAATTGTTCTCTTAATAATTATTGTCGTCCAATTAATATTGAACGCAAAATCGAAATATTATGTGAGATAATATGTCGAATAATAAATCTAGTCTTAGTGTAAATTATATATGTAAAAAGTGCATATATACATATATATATATATATAGAGTATATGTACCACAATAAAACGTGAATTATACATGCAATGAATAAATTAATAAGCATCAAACATCATAGTTCGAATTCTGAAAACTAGCAAGACATTTTTTACTCATCCCTTTAAATACACGTTTCAGGGACGTATTTATGAGGGTGACTGAGAGTGGTAAAGCCTTACAACCAGAAATAAAAGTATGAGTGATGTTAAATAATAACAGTGCTTATACTTTACCCCCGATCATTTAATAATAATGTCAACGATAAAACAATAACAAAACATATTATGATTTATGTGATAATGTGTTTTGACTTCATTAACAAACTATAATTTTTTATGTATAGTTTATGTTTAATGGTATTTAAGAAGATATATTTATATATTATCATCAGCCTCATCCCCGAAATAAAACTACATTTTAGAGTCTCCAAATATGCGCCTGGCACGTCCATAAAATAATATTAACATGCCGCATGACTGAATGAGCATGGGACAACTATAATGCAATTTCCACACAAAACACGATTAAATTGAACAATACTCATGAGAAATACAATTTAGAAATACAAAACAATCGAATGAATTATTAAATGTATTTCGTGCCCGTGACCTATATTTTCGACGAACACCGGATGTTGTTTATAAGCTGAATGCATTTATATTATCAAAAACAATAATTTAATGATTTCATCAATTTCGTAAAAATATATATATGCATATAGGTATGTCTGTTTATATAGTATTAATATATATAGTTTATACTTCCTAGTTAACTTTTTGTAGAATAAGTGTTATAGAGTAATTATAGATGTTCAACAAATATGTTTCATTTATAGCATGATTAATTAATAACAAAAAAGGTGCAAATAATCCACATCATTGTTGGTATAATTTACGTTATGCATGAGTTTCATAATTATGCAGAAACAAATCATTCTGAAATTCACTTCAGTGTAGATGGATACTCGTATGTTCACTAGAAAATACATGAAAATGATACTTACCTCTTATTTACAAATATTTCTGTCATGAATATTTACACAATTAATGATACACGTGACATTGTAAAAATAGCATTAATCTTCATCACTTGCAGTTATAACCTAGGAAAATAACGCAGAACAATGAATGAACAAACTCCGGAAACTTTGGTATTAACATGTCTGATATCTGACAAATTTAAAAATCATTGAAGCACGAACAAAAAATTAACTCAAACAATAAAAACTAACAATTTCTAGTAGTTTAAAAATGTTAATTTGTGATTTATACTTCATAGCTCCGATGAATCATTATAAAATCCTGGTAAAATTAAATAAATATAATTTTTATATCTAATATGTCCCATAATAATATGAACACGAAAAAATATTTTATTTTAAAGTTTAAAAGTGAAAAGCTTTACAAAAAAAGAGAAAAGTAAAACTATAATTATAGTTATTTCTCTTAATATAATTTTTATAATGATATGAACTTCACAGTTATTGTTTTTAAAAGAAAACTTATTTAGACTTTACCATCTCATATATAACTTTCTTTATTCTGAGGTGAATTTACGTATTACTGTTTAACGAAAAAATTTGAATTCTATAACTTATATATACATTAAGTACGTAGTAACATTAACAATAATTTATAGATCGATGCTTGGACTTACATACATTTTATATTTAAGACTTTATATTAAAATAATAACTTGCGTAATGTACCCATAGTTAGAATAAAACAATATTTAGTTTCATTCTAATATTTCATTACATTGATTGTAAACTGAGAAATCATAAAATTTCTAAAATGTACACAGCCTACAAGAACATTAATAAATAGTGACGATGGTAATAATAAAACTAAGGTTGAATTTATAACAATTGATAATTTTTCTCAAAAAACTCATCTTTTTCGGTTTGTTAATCGATTATATTTCCCGTCACGTTAATTTAAACAAACGTCCAGCAATGTTTCCAAGAGCTGTACTGGTAATACATATAAAAGTTACTTTGAATGTTAATATAAAAACATTTAATCATAAGATGAACTTTATGTCATTATTGTTATGAATAGTTATTTAATACAACAATATAGTTTTGACATCACTCATCTGTAAACAATCAATAATCTAGGTGTGTTACAAAAAATAACTTTCTTTAAATTGTAATGCATAAATAAAATCCAATACGCATTTGAATAGATATTTACCGATAGAATTTAAAATATAATATCGTTTTATGAATCGTACCTCAAAGAAAAAATGGAAACGACTACAAGTTATACTCGATTTATTTTGTATTCCATCTACCCGTTGTCGAATAATCATAAGTACATGGTGGAGAAATGAAATGGGTAATTTTAAAATAACTAAAAATAACCACCAAGAATTGTTTAAATAAATTTATTCATACCATCTTAAAGTATATAAAAAAGCATTTAAGATGTGTTATTTTATATTTAATTTTTATAAACGATGTCCGTAAGACGTCATCCATTTCGGAGTAAGAATTCGTCAAGACGTTTTTTTAAAACTGGACCTGATAATTCGTACAATTTCTCTAAAGATGTGTGACATCTTCTTGTATTCTTTGTTTCTACGGTATTGTTTAGTATACCATATTCTTAATAAACACCCACAAAAAAAAAACCACAAACTGAAAATAAGGTAATCAAGGAGCGGCTGAGATATATCTCCATTTTTCTATATTATACGGTTCGGAAATAAATCTTTCAGAATATTCACACCCACTCTAGTTGTATGACTCTTAGCTTTTTTTTATTAAAACTATCCAGTTACTCCATATTAAGCAACTTGTAGAATAAAAATTGTTCTACATCTGTTTAATTGTAATTGTGTAATTGTTTGTCAATATTACTCTATATTGATTATCGAAATAATGTCATTTCCAGTTTTAAAAATATCTAGAAAAATGTTTACTGCGAAATGAACACCATCTTACAGATATCATTTATAAAAATTAAATATAAAATCAACATTTTTTAAATGATTTTTTTTATATACTTTAAAATTGTATGAATACATTTTATTAAACAATTCTTATTGGTTATTTTTAATTATTTAAAAATTGTCCATTTTACTGCCCTATTTTGTATAATATTTATAAACTCATAACAAATCGTGATATATAATATGCAATATTGCATGAAAATATCACTACTTCATAGTAAATAACCATTAAACTGAAGAGCTACCGTTCAATGAGAAAATGTGTGTTTGTGTGTGGTGTATTTGCACACACAAAAGTTACTATAGTCATTCAAACTATAACCTTGGAAGGAAAATCTGCTAGATTTCACTCGGACAATTTATGAGGGTTAAAACGTATGGGAGTTATTTTTTAATACGCACCTTTTCTTTCTTTTTCAATGACTCTTTACGTTCAGAACTCGAAAATAACTATGTCTACGCACTCAATTTAGTGTTTCTAACAACGGTATAATCCAACGTGAAATATTATTCGTATATGACACATATTAGGTTTGATACTCGATGGTTGAATAGCATAAAAGTATTGTAGTAAATTAGGACTATGATCTCCATATCCGATGAATTGACTCGAACGTTAACTTATTATAGCGATTTCAGTTGAGAAATAAAATATGCTACTTTAGTAAATAACGTAATCTAATCTAATATAAATTAAAATTATTTTGTTAAAGCTTAACAGGTAGTAAACAAACCAAGACTATGGCTTGCAAGACTCTTGTATT